AACCGCTGTACCAGTCTGCACCGCATTACACCTAAGTGTCGAACATTTCCACCGCACTGCATCTCTTCGTTTGAGACGCGAGACTTTTGTGACGCGCTCCAGGAATGTACCCTAAGTTAAAAAGGTAAGACAACGGAAGTTTGAAATAAACCTTGTCATGGTGAATGTATGAACAACAAAAGAATCAATAAAGTGTGTCAAATTGTCAAAGTTAGCCATGTATTATGAGTGGTACATTAGCTTTCTAATCGTATTATATGTATCGTTCCAGCGAGTTTTATGATGCATGGCAGTTATCAAGTGAAAAACGTGCTGACTATCCACCTCCCTAACCCTCCATGCCTTATATGAGTGTAACTGTAGCGAGATAGTGGGGAGTGCAAATTTTCTGTGCCATACTTGTCAAGAGCCATAATAACCTTTCAATTATTCCAACAATCGAGGTTGGAAAAAAAAAAAAAAACAATGGGAGTTCGAATGAACAACTGGATCTTCCAAGGCTCATTGACCACAAAGACTTAATTGTCACTTCTCCTCCGTTTGGATTCATATCCTTGTAGTTCCATCACAACTCTGAAAAGTAAGGATGGTGCATGTTTTTAGTGCCTCCTCTTCTAATTTCCCGTTGACCCAGATTCTGTAACGTGTTATTATGGAGAAATTGAGTTGCACTCATTGCAATGAGCGCATATGAGTGAAAGCGGGTTTCACGGAGTAATAGGCGGACACGATTCTGGGTGAGCTGGCTGGGCGGGATTATCGAACGGTTGCTTGCTTCCACTTGAGCGCGCTCAGCATAGATTTTCCGCTCAAATGCGGGGTGGGCGGTGGTACGAGCAACAGATGCACCCCCCCCACCCCGCTATTTTGAACATGAACCACCAGAATTCTGGGCCTGCCCTTTCAGTCGAGCGAACAATTTCGGGAAAGTACATCCTAGCTCCTGAGTTTCAGAGTTCTCTCATGTTTAGCCCCAGGTTTACTAAAAAGGTATGACTTTCTGGGATTTCTCTCACGCGAGGCCCAAAGTATGTTAAAAACTGGTCTTGTAGGTTAAGTTAAAGTTATATTTCCGGTCGTAACCAGTTTTTAGTGGTATCCATTCCTAGATGAGCACATACTAGCCCCTTGTTGGGGCTGGCAGAACACGCCTGCACGGGGGTGGGTTCGATCCCAGGACCTCATCTATCGGAAGTGCCTCGTTCTACTGACTAGGCCACTTCTGGATTAAAAATAAAACTAGGCCAAGTATTTTCGACGGGGTAAAAAACATAAAACCCTTTGGGAACCAGGACACACTTTCGGGAGGGATCAGCCCTAATCTGGGGAACCCGCTAGGTGTTTAGGGTTGATCCGTCCCGCAAATGTGTCCTGGTTCCCGAGGGGTGCTATGTTTTTTGCACCCGTAAACAAATCGTTAATGCGAAAATGGACATGTGTCGAAAAGTTTGCCCTGCAGGACCAGTTTTGAACATAATCTGGGCCTCGCGTGAGCAAACTTATAGAAAGTCGTACTTTTTGAGTGAAACCGGGGCTAAATATGAGAGAAATCTGAAACTAAGGAGCTGGGATGTACTTTCCCAACAATTTCACCACCCTGCAGACTGCCATGGCGAATACACCGTTTTGGCTTCAGCGCTGCTAGCAAATTCGTCACTTCCATTTCGCAAATGTCTGCATAAGCCTTTTGCCACACCGGACCCGAACACGATAGCCTCATTTACGTGTACACATTGCTCCTTACCAGACATTTTAGAATCCAAACTCTGCCCTTGACTAAGCCTTTGCGCTCATCAGTTCCGCGCTTCCTCCCCCCTCCCCCATTCCCCTTCCTTCCCCTCCCCCCGTGCTCCACTTTCGTCCGCCTAGGGTTTCATTCGTTCTCTTTCATCCGCTCTCAATCAAGAAGAACCTCGAGCTCACCCAGTGTAGACCCGATAACTCCAGCCTGCTGCGTGTAGCTCTCGTTGCAATGGAAGCTCTCTTGGTGTAGCTCTCACTGCTGGTGTAGCACTTGCTGCTGGTGTAGCTGCTGCCTTCTCTATAGGGGTTTCGCCGTGTACCTCTCTCTCTATTAGCTTGGATCACCATTTCCTGCTGCTTCGAGAGTGCAGCGACTACACCTGCAATCACTGTAGCTCCTAGGCTCATCTGGTACACTCCAAGCTCAAAGGCCCGTCCAATCCACGAACTCGTCAAAATTTCATCGTCGTAAAATTCCTACCATCATTGTGTAGTTCCAATCCACGCATCGCGGTGCCGTAATTTCTTTCAGCAGATTTCTGTCTTTCCATCCCAAGTCCCTCCTGAGTCGCTTTCGAGTCTAATTCGCATCCTCGTCGTCCCGATGTCGTCTGTGCAGGGAAAGAAGTCACTTGGTCGACTTACATCTGAGCCTCAACGATTTCGAAAGCGCAATGGCGGATCCGTTCGCTCAAGCCGTGTTCCGAGCGTACCGCGATGGGCTTCTCGCATCACAGCTGCAGGCGGAAAACACCGGCCCTGAGCCGGCGAATCCAGGCGCGTCAACTCACGAGCAGTTCTATTCTGGATCATCGCAATACGCGGCGCAATACTCGGCGCCAGGTCATGATGCTTTGCACGGAGGATCGTCGCTGCACGCGGCGTTAACACAGCAGCTGATTCAAGAAGCGGCGCGTCATTCTGCGTTTACTCAGCAGTTAACTCACGAGACGATCCATGGCGGAGGATCTCAGCAGAATCAAGCGTTCACCCAGCAGAATTCAACGTTTACTCAGCAGCAGAACCCAACGTTCACTCAGCAGCAGCAGTCAACGTTCACTCAACAAAATCCAGCGTTTGCTCAGCAGCAGCCAACGTTCACCCAGCAGCATCAGACGTTCACTCAGCAGTTGACCCAAGGCGGAAGGGGCTCGCTCCATGAGCAGCTGGCGGTGGGAGATGCGGCGCACGGAGACGCGCTGCTGCAAGGAAGTCTACCAGGAGGGAATCATGGAGGTTTTGCGGCTACTAACGAAGCAGCTACAAATGAAACAGTTGCAACTGAAGCAACTACCAATCAAGCTCATGAAAGTTTCCTGGGACAAGCGGATAATAATCTGAATGTTCCGGCTGTTCAGGACAACCTGGGAGCCCATAACGAAGCAGCTCAAAACGAAGCGGCTCAAACTGAAGCAGCTATTGAAGCAGCGCAAACTGAAGCGGCTCAAAATGAAGTGGCTCCAACCGAAGCAGCTCAAACCGGAGCAGTTCAAACCGAAGCGGCTCAAACCGAGGCGTCTCGAACTGAAGCGGCTCAAAACGAAGCAGCTCAAAACGAGGTCACGGTTAAAGTCGAGGAAGGCGCTGGTCCGGAATCCGGGACTGGCGCCGGAAATCGCTCCACCGCTGTCGTTTCTAACGGCGCTTCTGCGAGCGGTGTGTTCTCCATGCTCCTGGACATGCAGCACCAGCAGCAGCCGCTGCAGACCCCGCTCACGCCCGCCCCCGCCGTTCCACCGCTCGCCCCGCTTCGTCCCAGCGATCCCAAGTCCCCGAATGCTGCTGCTGTAGTGGCGTCTGGGTTTGGACAGAGTGGGTTGCAGGGGCAGCAGACTCGTCCCGCGAATAAGTATGATGCGCAGAAGCAGCGGGATTGGAACAATTTCAGCCAGTATTTGGCCCGGCATCAGCCTCCTGTGGCAATGATTCGCGCTACACCGCGTCATGTGGTGGAATACATGCGCTATATGGACCAATTTGGGCGCACGCGTGTACATGATTTAGGATGCCCGTTATATGGGTCTAGCTCGGTACGGGAGTCATGCGTCTGCCCTATGAAGCAGGCGTGGGGGAGTTTGGACGCCCTGATTGGCCGGCTGCGAGCCGCATTTGAGGAGAATGGAGGGAGGCCGGAGACAAATCCGTTTGCAACAAGAATGGTGAGGGAGTACTTGAATGGAGTGAGGGTTTCCCAGGGTAAGGCGAGAGGGGTGATTTATGATAAGAGAAAGAGGGTGGTGGAGGAAGGGGGGGTTTATGACAGGAGGAGGAGAAGAAGGGTGGAGGAAGAGGATGAATGGGAGGAGGGGGCCAACTGGGGGGACTATGGTGGGGGGCAGCAGCAGATGTAGTGTAGACACAGAAGCAGCTTTCTGCATGGGCAGATAGTTCAATTGTGTGTTTCTGATTCAGTAGACTGTAGAATGCCACTTTCTTCTCTTTTGTGCTTGTGTTTTCTGAGATCCAGGATGTTGCATGCTGCTGTTATTCCAAGCTGCATACTTTGCATTCTCTACTACCGGTAATCTGTAGCCCCAATCAATTTGGGAATGATAAAAAAGGCTGTGAATTGGAGATATGCAACTCGTTGGAAGCTGGAAAATGTACTGTAGGTTGAAATCTTGCTCCATTTCTGTAAAATGCACATAAACTGTCAAATGCCTTTGTCACCCCGATGCCAACCAAACCAACTCCAGCTCCTGGTTCTCAAGTGTGTATGGTACTGCTGCTGCTGCTGCTGCTGCTGCTGCTGCTGGAGCTTCCTCACTTGCAGCCTGGCTGGCATATAAAATCACTTGTTGCTACTACTTTGGCACACACACAGATGCTGCATGCAGAAACGCATCTGCATCCACACCAGCAACTCTGCCTTTCGCTTCTCGCCCTCTGCTCCCTTGCCACCCTCCCTTGCTCCTGCTCCTGCTCCTGATCCCTCTGCGCCTTTTGTCCCCTCCGTGTCGCCTCTGCAGCAGCAGCAGCAGCAGCTTCAGCATCTCGTGTCATCTGCTGCACGTACTGTTGCCACATTGCCTCCCTCTCCTCGTCCCTATCTCGCACCCATCAATTTCATTCACTCTGCCTTTCGTTTCTCTCCCTCTGCTCCCTTCCCATCCCCCCCCCGCTCCTGCTCCTGCTCCTTTTGTCCCCTCTGCGGCTGCCTCTGCAGCAGCAGCAGCTTCAGCCTCTCGTGTCATCTGCTCCACATACTGCTGCCACATGGCCTCCGCTCCTCCTCCCCCCCGTCGAACCCAACAACTTTACTCTGCCTTTCGTTTCTCTCCCTCTGCTCCTTTTGACCCCTCTCCAGCACCAGCAGCAGCAGCGGCAGCAGCCTGAGCTTCAGCCTCTCGTGTCATCTGCTGCACATACTGCTGCCACATGGCCTCCCGCTCCTCCTTCCCCATACCTTCCATCTCCCCCACTGCACCGCCCTCCCCCTTCCCCGCTCCCCCCTGCCCCTGCCAGGACTGCTCGTCTGCTCCGAAGGGCAGGCGGGGGGGGGCCATCCAGAGGGCGAGGAGGAGGGAGAGGTGCGTGAGGAGGAGGGAGAGGGAGGAGGCTGGTGTGGACGGGTAGATGTTCCAACAGAGCTCGATGGTCAGCCAGAGAAGCAGCCTGGAAGGGGGGAGGGGTGGGGGATGGGAACACAAGGTGTGGGAGGGAGTGAGGAGGGAGAGGAGGATGAGGAGGAGGGAGAGGGAGGAGGCCAGGGTGGACGGGTGGAATAAATCAATATTGTTGGGCGCACACCAAGATTTATTTCTTGGCACTTCATGCATATTTGAAGGGGATAGGCCAAGGGAATGGCGAGAACGACTGAACTCCGAACGGCATTGGTGTACGTGTACAGTGTACTCGAATTGAGCACAGGGCGATAATGAATGAATCTCCTTAAAAAGCGTACAAAAATATGGATCTGAGTGCTGTCGTCGAATATTGCTACTGTCGTCGAATATTGCCTGTGTAATGGTGTCATGGCATCAGCACTTACCTAAGTGGTGTGGGGAGAGGAGAGATCCATAGGAGGTAGGGGATGGAGAAATAGTACCTGAAAGGGGGGGGGAAAGGGAGGGGAGGAGAACTCAAATGCAGGGGGGGAAGGGAGGGGAGGAGAACTCAAATGCAGGGGGGTAAGGGAGGGGAGGAAGAGAGGAGGAAGAGACGCATTGCGACCAATCAGAGAAGCCAAGAAGGATTGACTGAAGAGGAGGTTCAAAATGTGAGAGGCGGGGGAGGAGCACAGTAGGTGGAAGAGGTAGCGGTGGTAGGGAGAATGGGAAAAAGAGGGCATTCGGTAGTTGGGGAAAAAGAGGGGATTCGATCATTCGATAAGTAGAGAAACGAGGTTTGGTACCGACCAGGAGTAGAACTGGTAGTGCAGGCTGCGAGCACAGAAGATTCCAATGAAGTTACCAACGAGCATCAGGTATGTGATGTCTGCAGCAGGACGGGGACCAGGCTTGGGCTTTAATAGATGAATGAGGATGCATCGAGCGAGATGGCAGTGCAACAATGAAGCTACCAATGAACATCAGGTAGGTAGGTGGTGTCTGCAGCACAGTGGGGTGGAAGTTCAGGTTTGAATAGATGAAGGATGCATTGATGGAAATGCCAGTGCAACGATGATCAGCAATGAAACCCGCCCGGGGCTTTAAGGGTTATGGACCCTCTCGGGGCTTAGGGTTTCTTATTGACTCAGTAGAAAAGGAGAAACCAATTTGATTGCAGAAGTCGGAGAGCTTTTAAGAGATTGGGTATTAACTTCACCATAATCACTATACGCTGGGTTCTACAACAAGGTTTTGGGGTTGATATCAGTGTGAGGTGAGTGCTTTGGTCTAGAGGAAGGGGCACCAAAAAACAGGATACGGATGCCATCGTGATGTGACAACACCAAGCCATGATGATGAGCGGTCACGATGGGACAATAACGTACGGTCAGGATGCAACGGGCGGGTCTGCAGTCGTTTGAACGGGGAGAGCAGAGCAGCGATGGCAACTCGAAACATGCCGCCCTCATACCTGGTGGGAGAGAGAGTGGGAGATGAGGGGGGATGGGGGAAAGGGATAAGAGTATACATGGTAGATGGCTCTCGGGATATCTCATGAGTAAAGGAAATGAGATACGTGGTAACTGTAAAGGACAGAGCAGCGCACATGGCGACTTTAAACACGCTGCCCTTGTACCTGGCAGGAGGGAGCGGGAGATGAGTGGGAATGGATGGAAAGGGATGGAGAGGGAGATGAGGGGTTATGATGTAAGAGGGATGGAAGGGCCGCATCAGTGTGGCATTTTACCAGCAGCAACAGGATCAACGGCAGAAGAAGCAGAAAAATCAGTAAGATCAGAATGCTCTTTATCAAGTCGCACTAAGTCCTCCTTAACTGAGCCTACTTGCACCAGGCGGTAGTGACAGACGAACAGCAGCTGCACTATGCTCCAAACCCATTGGACAAAGTCACGATTACAGAACTACTCATTCTAGACTAACTTGTACAAACCTCACTCGAACTCAACTCACTTGCACTAGCAGTAATGGCAGAAGAGCAGCAGCAGCAGCAGCAGCAGCAGGTGCAGTAGCAGGTCCCCCCCATGCTAAATGCATTGGACAAACTCACCCACTTGTACAAAAAACATTGAAATAAGACTCACCTGCACCAGCAGAAGTGGCAGAAGAGCATCAACAGGTGAGAGAAACATGCATTCTGTTCTGTTTCCACATGCATTGCAAAAGTTACTTGAGAGAAACGCACTCGAACACCACTCACTTGCACCAGCAGAAGTGGCAGAAGAGCAGCAGCAGCAGCAGGTGCAGCCCCAAGAGAGAAAGAGCAAAAGGCTTGGACACAAATGTTGACTCGGGGACAAACTTAAAGTTGACAGACCTGATGAGAAGAGAGGGCAACAGAAAGGACGGAGATGAAGGAGTAGGGCAAGCAAGAGGGGTTGAGCAAAGGGCTTCGACACAATGGTTGACCTGGGGACGAACTTGAAGTTGACAGACCTGAACGGAGAGAGGGGAGGGAAGAGAAGTGGGCAGGAGAGGGCAAGCGCGAGGGATTGAATGAAGGGTTTAGACACAAGTTGAGTGAGGGTCGAAGTTAAATTTGACAGACCCGATGTGAAAGCGTGAAGCGAGTGGACTACGACTCGTCCAAGGTGAAAAGTAGAGGAAAGAAGGGATAGGAGAAGCACGATACGGCTGTTATTCCAATCACTCTCCAAACACAAGTATCACTTAGAACCTCAGACCAGGGCATCACCAGAAGTGGATGAAGACTCGTCCAAGGTCGAATGCCCGGCCAAAGTAGGCCTGAGGGAAGGTGCTGATGAACGGCCAGCCAACCAGGAGCTGCCACGTGGCAAGTGAATGGGCATGCATGGTGCGATGGAGATGGAACAGCACAAAGAAATCATTTGCAGTTACGAGAAATAGCTGGAACGATTTTTCAGGACCAAAAAGAGATGGCTGGAAACTGACATAGCGAGTTCGAGCAATGCCTGCGAGTTGAAATTTTCTTTCTTTCATATTTGCCGGACAATGTCAAACACTGAACTCCTAAAGCTAAACCCCTTACCCCTCAACGCTAACCTCAAAGCCCCGAGGAAGAAGAACCCTAGACATTACAGAGATGAGAGGAACAAGTTATGAGACGGCTTTTGAGTCGACTCAAAAGGAGATGAGAGGGACAAGTTATGAGACGGCTTTTGAGTCGACTCAAAAGGAGATGAGAGGAACAAGTTATGAGACGTCTCAACACCAAACTGTTGAAGCTGACATCAAAACCCACAGGACGAGCCCTGGGTGAGGTTTTGAGGTCAATTTGAGATTGCAGCCTGTGTACGTGAAAGAACGTGCAGGAGAGAAGAGCGTACCTGAAAGGCGACTGCTGCACCAAGGAGAGCCATTATTTGAAGCAGGGGAAGGGTCTGGTGTGTGTGGTTGGACGTGTGGTTGGACGTGAGAGGAGAACGAAAATGAGGGCAGGATTGAAGCGACAGAAGGGAGAGCGTGCGAAGGGGCTGTTGTTATGACAAGAGAAAAGGAGAATTGGGGAAAGGTGGATTGAAAAGGAGGAGATACGAGGAGAGGAGTAGATTGGGGATGCAAAATGGCAAGAGACATGGAAGAAAAGTGAGAGGAAAGAGCAGGGTAGGAAATAGGGTTTTTGGGATAGAAAGACATTGGAAATGGAAGGAACCACAGCCGAGGTCCAAGCATAGCCCAAAATTATATGAGAGGTGGAGGGGCATGACAAAGATAATCGTTCATGGGTTGAGAAAGGCGGCTGGATGGAGTGGGATGGGAGTGAGATGGAGAGGGGTGCGAGTGAGAGAGAGAGAGGGAAACCTTTGCCATGATGAGAAGCAGAGGAGGGAGGAAGAGCAGGACGTTCATCTTGACTGAAACGCCTGCACTGCACACATGCACATGAAATATGTACACATGCACATGAACGTAAGCGTGTGGAGGGATGGAGGGAGGGAGAGAGGGAGTGAGGGAGGATTGAATGTGGAGAGAAGAAGTAGAGTGGGAAGAGGATCACGTTGATCTTGACTGACACGCCTGCACTGCATGTGATGAGTCGATTTTTGAGTCAACTCAAAAATTGACTGACACGCCTGCACTGCACACATGCGCATGGAGGGAGGAAGGGAGGGAATGGGGATGGAGTGAGGATTGAAAGGGGAAAGAGAAACAGAGAAAAGAGGATCACGTTTATATTGACTGACACGCCTGCACTACACACATGCACATGGACAGTCGTGTCAAGGGACGAATACATGCATGTGGACGGATGTAGCCGTTTGGAGGAAGGGAGGGAGAGAGGGAGGGAGGTTTACAAAGGAAAAGAAGAAGCAGAGGAGGAATAGCCGTTTGAAGCACGTTCAATTTGACTGAGCTCGCACGCATGCCCGCCCGCACACTCACACACAGGCATGCACGCATGAGAGAACCAAGAGTCTGGCCTAGATATTCACTATTGACCTGAAGAGGAGCAGTGCCGAGATCCATCGGGATGACTGCAGTCTGATCTGAGGGGGGAGGCGTGAAGGAAGGCCATGGCGAGGCAGTCAACCAAGAGCCTGGCCTAGAGATTTGCTTGCAGTCTGTACAGTGAGAGGTCCAGATGGTTTTTACTGACCTGAAAGATGAGCACTGCCGGGATCCATCTGGACGACTGCAGTTGGAGCAGGGAGGCGTGATTCAGGGAGGCGTGATTCGTGGAGGCGTGATTCGTGGAGGAAGGCTATGGCGAGGCAGTCGTTGAAAAGTCTAGCTGCAGTCATTAATGTGACAAGTCTAGATGGTTCTTACTGACCTGAATAGAAGCAGTGCTGGGATCTGGATGACTGCAGTCTGAGGAGCGAGGCGTGAAGGAAGGCCATGGCGATAGTGGTTGAAGAAACAGAATTCACTTTTGACGATCCAAAGATAGATGATTTCTACTGACCTGAAGAGGAGCACTGCGGGGATCCATCTAGAGGATTGGAGCCTGAGGAGCGAGGTGTGCAGGAATGCCGTGGCGAGGCAGTTATTGATGAGCCTACACAAGGCAACGTCTGCTGACCTGAATAGGAGGACTGCCGGGATCCATCTAGACGATTGCAGTCTGAGGAGCGAGGCGTGCAGGAATGCCATGGCGAGGCAGTCATTGAAGAGGCGAAGCAGGAAGATGGAGTGTAGACGCTTGGAGAGACACAGCAGCACGAGCACCCAGGGGGGCACCTGATATAGAAAAGAGATGACAGATTGGGCAGGTGTGGGGAATGAGGGAATCAGGGGCGAGAGGTGCAGTGGGAAGATGAAGTGCAGACGCTTGGAGAGACACAGCAGCACGAGCGCCCAGGGGGGCACCTGACGAGGGGGACCAGGGAAGATGTGGGTTGGTGGGGGCAGGGAGGAGAAGAAAGCATGAAGATGGGTGCAGCAGACCAGCACATGGTGTGGAACCAGCAAAAGCACCCACCAGTGACCGCCTTGTTCTCAATGATTACTCCTCGCAAACTCTGGCTGCGAACACCATAAAACATATTAATGACAACAGAGGACAGGACACGAAGAGGCATGCCATGTGCTGTAGGGTTTTTTTGAGAACTCTCAAAAAAACCCTGCAGCAGCACGAAGAGGCGTGCCATGTGAGTCAAGTCAACTATAGAGTAGATGTAGCATGCCATGTGGCATGCCATGTGAGTCAACTATAGAGTCACGTCGACACAGCACAACATGTGCATCGCTGCTTCTTACCGCCTGTGTGCGAATGTAGATGGCGAAGAGCATGAGCAGATTGATGAGATAGAGGACGAGAAGAGGTGCCCGTTGGGTCCACTAAAGAATAGAGTCACCTTGTCACCACATTCTCTAAATTGCTTCTTACCGCCTGTGTGCGGATGTAGATGGCGAAGACCATGAGGAGGTTGATGAGATAGAGGACGAGGAAGGCCGCCTGCGATGGAGGCGAGGACGGAGCGAGAAGAGAGCAAGGAGAAACGGATGAGAGAGAGAGAGGCAGGGGTTGTGGAGGAAAACAAAACAAAATCAGAAAATGGAGACTACGAGAGGGCTGAGGAGACATAGGAGGGTTAGGCAGGAGAGATGGAGAAGAAAAAGTGGAGATTGTGAGAAAGGCTGAGGAAACAAAGGAAGAGACGGGAGCCTAAACCCATGTGCAGTTCCAGGAGCCTACCTGAGCTTCCTGGAGCCTGCCTGCACTTTCAGGGACCTAAATGAGCTTCCACGAACCTTCCTCACCTTCCAGGAACCTACCTGAGCGTTTGGCACGATTTCCCTGGTGATCCATTTGAGAGCAGAGAAGGAGAGGAGGAGCTTGGCAGGGTAGACAAAGAGGGCCTTGCCAGATAGGTGACTTTTGAGTCGACTCAAAAGGCAGGGTAGACAAAGAGGGCCTTGCCAGATAGGTTCCTGGCAAGAGGGCGTCTTCCTGGAGCTTCCTGGAATCTATCTGGCCTTGCCAGCCAGGAACCCACCTGATCGTTTGCAACAACCCCTCCTGTGATCTATATGAGGGTAGAGGAAGGGAGGTGGGAGCCAGCAGGGGAGACGAGGGGGCCCGTGTCTCTCCCTCCCAAGCGCCCCGGAGTGATCCACCCGCCTTGTGCCCCTGAGTTTCTAAGAACCCACCTGAGCGTTTGCCACGATTCCCCCGGTTATCCACTTGAGAGCAGAGAAGGAGAGGAGGAACCCTGCAGGGTAGACGAGGGGGCCCGTGTCGCCCTCCAGCTTGGTGTAGTCGCGCTCGCCGTGCTGGAAGCCCGTGACCTGCGCCATGTACGCATCCCAGTCTATCTTGGTGTCTGGAGGGTGGTGCAAGAGGGTTGGGTGGAGCAAGCGGGATGGATGGATAAATGGATGGAAGCGCAATACTGGGATTTCTCCAAGGTAGAACTGGTAAGGTAGACGAGGAGGCCCGTGTCTCCCTCTCTCCAGCTTGGTGTAGTCCCGCTCGCCGTGCTGGAAGCCCGTAACTTGCGCCATGTACGCGTCCCTGTCTATCTTGGTGTCTGGCGGACGGATTAGAGTGGGGAGGATGGCGCAAGCAAGCGGGGAAGCGAAACGAAAAAAAAACGTATTTTTTTTTCACAAAAAGGGGCCCGAGCTTGCCCCTCGCTCCACCACAAGAAGGGGGCGACGGCAGAGCACGATAAGCGCGGAGCACAGAAGCGAGAGAAGAACCACGGCAGGTGTGAATGAGGGGACGGCGAGCGGCAATGACGAGACACACATGGGACCTTGGCGATGATCGCGGAGCACAGCACCGCCTCTGCGATCAGAAGCAGCCGTGCGACGGCCCACGCCGCCTTGGTGTCGCGCGGGTCGCACACGCGACGGGCCCACGTCGCAATGGCTGCCTTCAGCGTCATCGCTTCGCCTGTGCGACGATGCGAGTCTAGGATTGTGCGTGTCAGTGGGCTTCGATGCGCAAGAGTATCAGCGGCGTACGGTTGAGCAGACGAACGTCGACAGGTGCACGTTTACTCGTATTCCATCGAGAATGTCGGCTTTCCGAGGCTACAAGAGGCTACGAAGAGGTCATCTGCGCGAGTTTCTGGCAAGGATGGTTGAGAACCCAGGGATTACGGGAAAGAGGTTATTTTATGCTAGCCAGAGGTATGCTATGGAGAGATCGCTACGTGGCTGCTGTGCCGCAGCGCAGAGGCTATTGAGAATTCCGATCGCGATTCCTGCTTGCTGATGCTGACCTGGAAGGGCCAAGGCAATACCGCAAAATCGATCCCTTCAAAGATAAACCGATTTGGCCCTGAAAACATATTTCCATCTCTTACGATTTTCCTGAAGAGTACACTAATGTAAGGAATTTTCTCGGCATTCCTTACGGAGCCGACTACATCGCGTACAGCAACAGCCGATTGTTCGCCCGTTACTGCTAACGGAACTTCGCCGACTTCGCGCGCACCGTTTTACCAAACCTCGCACTGCTGGCATGGCCGTATCGGCCTACGCTTCGTGACTAGCCCGAGCCTCGCTCCAGCGTAGCACTAGCAAGCTCGCACGCACCGCGTTACCGTTTTGCATGTTTCGCGTATAAATGTTCGCTCATGCCTTCGCTCACATTTTGTACTCGTTTGACACCTTAGTGCAATTCTCGCTACCTCGATTCATTGCACCCGTAACACTTGGTTATCAGAGCCCCTTTCTTTCGGACCGCGCATCTCCGCACACCAGGAAATCAACTTTTGATTTTTCACTCGAAGGGACTCACGCACCTTAGCCCCTAGGAGCCGCTGTCCTCGCGTTCTCTCGTAAACGCGTGCAGCCACGACTGCGCCTAGACTAAGACGAGCCGACGCCCTTCGTCATGGCCGAAAACATCGACGTCACCACTCTCACGCAGGAGCGTTTGAACGATCTGCTGCGACAACTGCACGAAAGCTCCGAGGAAATCGCGGCATTGACGGCAGAACGCTCATCACTGCAAAATGACCTCCTGAGAGCACAATCTCAAGCACCTGGCACTCCGATTCAACCCGCACCCTCAACATCACAACACGGGAGTGTGGGGCAACCCGCGAGCGCGGCCAGTGATGGCGTCGTCCGCCCCGACGGAGACGACGACCACGGCACGACACACCCCAGAGCGACGCCCGCGGCCCCAAGTCAGCCTCGCGTCACGATTTCGGCACCAACCCACGATTCGGGACTGCCGTCACCGATGCCGCTGAAGCCGCAGCGCCCGCCATGCTTTGACCCGAGTCAACGGGGTGGTCCTACCGTTCAGGCGTGGTTATTCACAATGAATGTTTTCTTCGACGCCAACTACGTCTCGGAGGACTCGGCGAAGATTCGATACGCCGTGTCGTTGCTGCGAGGACCCGCCATGGACTGGTGGCGCGTCATCGTCACGAAGCCGACCGACTACGCGACACTACCGACACGGGAAGGACAAACCGGACCCTGGGCGCCGTCGTATTTCGTGGAGGTGCCCCAGTATCGCACGTGGGACGCGTGGTGCGCAGGTCTGCGCGCTCGATTTGAGCCAATCGCGGCCTCGATCTCGGCGCGACAGAAGCTCCGCACTTGGCGCCAACTCGGTTCCGTCCAGGATTACACGAGCGGATTTCTGGCGCTATGCGAGCAGGTGGGCTACATGCATGAGAGCGAACGCATCGACCGCTACATCGGCGGCCTGAAGCAGGACATCGCTCAGGAAATCCAGCTTCGCGGCGTCACTGAGTTTCAGGAAATTCTCGCTATGGCGGAGAAGCTCGACTTCTTTCGCCGACCGAGACCGGGGTCCTACGGAAACAACACCTGGGGACATCGGCCTCGTGGGACGAACGAAAGCGCCACGATACGCGCCGTCGCCGCAAATGCCGCTGCCGCACCGTTCAAAGGGCGCTGCTTTGCGTGCAATCGGCCGGGACATCGCAAGAGCGAATGCCCGGAAAACGCTAAGGGAAAGGGGGAAGCTGAGCAGCAGACACAGACCAAGCAGCAGGGAAACGCTGGAAGTCAGTAGCAGACGGGCCCTCTACTGACAGGTCACGCCGCTCGCCCGACCCAACCGACCCTCACCGAGTGATTGTGCCGGTTCACGCAATCGACCACACCCGGCCGAATAAGGAGGGTACCACGGTAGATAGCCCTATACTGCTCAGTGGGAAAATTGGGACGGACTTAGTTAAAATCTTCGTAGACGGGGGAGCCAGCCACAGCCTCATCAACACTGCTACAGCACGCAAACTGCGACCGCCACTGGACCGATGCTTACCTGAGATCGACGCACGACTGGTAGACGGCACGCCGCTGGCAATACGGGAACGCGTAGACCGAGTTCGGATTCGATGCGGGGGTAACTTCACGTTTAGTCAGGAAATGCTCGCAACGACCCTCGACGGAACCGACATTTTACTCGGGCGTGATTGGCTGCGACGACACAATCCGCGAATTGACTGGACGACGGGTGACTGCACCGTGCGAGTAAACGGTAACAACATCGCCTTACCTCGCTGGGGCTCGCCTGAGTCTTCGTCGGTGCGTGTCAACGCGATCACGATGAAACGCGCTGTTGCGGCCGGAGCTGACGTGTACGCGGTTGACATTCGGGAAGCCGAGGCAGCAGACAAGGGGGGCGATTTACAGAAACTGCTGACCGACGTACCGAGTGACCTGGCGGCACTGTTAAAACAGTACAGTGACATTTTCCCGGATGACTTACCGACGGGACTGCCACCTCAGCGACCGCACGATCACAGGATAGAACTGGAACCGGGGGCACAGCCAACAGTACAGCGACAGTTCCGACTGACCCAACCCGAACTAGACGAACTAAGAAAGCAGCTCGATTACCTGCTCGAAAAGGGATTCATTCGCCCTAGTTCGTCGCCCTTCGCCGCACCAATACTGTTCACACCGAAAAAGGACGGGGGTTTTCGCATGTGTATCGACTACAGGGCACTAAACAGGGTTACCATCAAATCCCGTTACCCCATCCCACGAGCCGACGAACTGATCGACCAACTGCGTACAGCCCGGGTTTTCTCGAAAATCGACCTCCGAGGAGGCTACCACCAAATCCGCGTCAACCCACCCGACTGCCCTAAAACCGCATTCCGAACACGCTACGGATCCTTCGAATACACCGTCATGCCATTCGGACTGACCAACGCCCCCGCCACTTTCCAAATGACCATGAACGAAGCATTCCGCCCGCTTTTAGATAAGTGCGTCATCGTTTATCTGGACGACATACTGATTTACAGCCCTGACAGAGCACAGCACTTACACGACATCGAAGCAGTCTTTAAAATCCTGAGTGAGAACCGCCTACTGACCAAAGCATCTAAGTGTGAGTTTTTACAGGACCGCCTGGAGTTTTTGGGACATGTTATTTCAGCTGCAGGAGTGGAAATAGACCCGAAGAAAATTGCGACGATTCAGGCTTGGCACGCGCCGACCAACTTGACCGAGTTGCAGAGTTTCCTGGGGTTCGTCAACTACGTGCGCCGGTTCGTCCCCGACATGGCGAAGGTGACTGCCCCGTTGACTGACCTGCTGAGGAAGGGGGTTGAGTACACGTGGGGGGAGAAAGAGCAAGCTGCCTTCTCGGCCCTCAAAACTATTTTGTGCTCCCCGCCCGTCCTTCACATTGCAGATCCCCACCGTCCGTTCGAGCTCGTCACCGACGCAAGTGACATCGCTGTGGGAGCAGTACTGTTGCAGGATTTCGGGAACGGCCTCCAGCCAATCGCGTACGAGTCCCGCAAGTTACACCCGCCCGAACGTAACTACCCGATACACGACCGCGAGATGCTAGCGATCGTGCACGCGTTCAAAGTTTGGGGATGTTACCTGACTGGCGCCGACGTGACGGTACGGACAGACCACCGCTCGCTACAGTATCTTCGCGCCCAACCGAATCTCAACCCACGACAGATTCGCTGGTTGGACTATCTCGAGTCCAATTTTCACTACACCGTTACGTACAAAAAGGGTGCATCCAACATCGCCGACGCTCTCACCCGCCCCACCGCCCAACTCCATGCCATCCTACTCGCCCAGACCAACCCGCTTTTAACTAGCCTATTCACCCACGGATACCGCACCGACCCATTTTTCACGACCGAAAATTCACAGCAACTGGCAGAAGCAAAAGGAGTCTATTACGTAAAAGCAGGCACCAACCGCATTTGGGTACCCGCGTACTCACTACTGAGGGAGCTGCTACTACAGGAGGCACACGACGGGATTACCTCGGGACATTTTGGGGTAGAAATAACGCGACAGCAACTGCAGCGGTACTATTACTGGCCGGAGCTGTTGACCGACGTACAGCAGCACGTGGGCTCGTGCCCGACATGTCAGGTGATGAAGAGTTCAAGGAAGCGGAAGGCGGGTCAACTGCAGCCGATCCCACCGCCCGAACGCGCCTGGCAGCAAGTAACCATGGACTTCGTCACAGGGTTACCTTCGAACCCTGGGGGTAACGACGCGGTGATGGTCGTCGTGGATAGGCTGACGAAGATGGCACACTTCGCTGCGTGCAAAAAGTCGATCTCAGCCGAGGAGACCGCTCGCCTGTTCATCGCAGCCGTTGTTCGCCTGCACGGGATACCAGCAGCAATTATCAGCGACAGGGACACGAAATTTACCAGCAACTTCTGGAAGAACCTCTGGGAGGAGTTCGGGACCAGGCTACAGTTCAGTTCGTCGTACCACCCCGAGACCGACGGCCAAACGGAGCGGACGAATCAGACGATGGAGCAGTTGATTCGTGCCACGTGCGACGACCCCACGACCTGGGAGCAGCAGCTGCCGCTGATCGAGTTCGCGTACAACAACGCCACATCAGCCACGACGCAGCAGTCCCCGTTCTACCTGAACTATGGGCAGAACCCCACAGTGCCCATGACGCCGAGCCCGGACAACCCAACGCCACGCGCACAACAATTCGCCGAAATCCTGCAAGCTGCCCGCGCCAGAGCCGCCGAAGCAATAAAAAAGGCCAACGTCATCGCTAAGCGCAACGCTGATCGCCACCGCCGCCCCGTCACGTATCAATCTGGAGATTACGTGCTACTCGACACGCAAAATCTGCGACTGCCCGACGTACCAAAATTACGACCACGCTACTGTGGACCATTCCAAATCAGTCACATGATCACACCCGTCACCGCACACCTACTGTTGCCAACCGACTGGTACATCAGCCCTTCGTTCCACGTCAGCCTACTTCGCCCATACATCCCGACCACAAGTCAACTGCCGCGTCACCGGCCACAATCAATGACTCGCCCTGCATCAGAGCCGATCATCGAGCCCGAAAAAATTCTGAGCCATCGGATCCGCCACCCCACGGGAATCAGGAGGATTGAATTCCTCGTTCGCTGGAAAGACCGCACGCCAACTGAAGATAGCTGGGTGCCCCTGAGCAACATCGAAAATCACCCTGCCCTGCAAGTGTACCTGAGGAGCCGGGGATTCCGCGATATACACGCACTCGCGTAGCGGAGGGGGCTTCTTGAGGGGAGGGGTAGTGTAAGGAATTTTCTCGGCATTCCTTACGGAGCCGACTACATCGCGTACAGCAACAGCCGATTGTTCGCCCGTTACTGCTAACGGAACTTCGCCGACTTCGCGCGCACCGTTTTACCAAACCTCGCACTGCTGGCATGGCCGTATCGGCCTACGCTTCGGGACTAGCCCGAGCCTCGCTCCAGCGTAGCACTAGCAAGCTCGCACGCACCGCGTTACCGTTTTGCATGTTTCGCGTATAAATGTTCGCTCATGCCTTCGCTCACATTTTGTACTAGTTTGACACCTTAGTGCAATTCTCGCTACCTCGATTCATTGCACCCGTAACAACTAATCAAAACTTCCAGCTTTCTATGGCCCTACTCTTGAGGTTGAGTCCATAAATGTGTGATGCCACGGGCACCAAGCTCTGGTTCCTAACCGATGGGTCATCTCATCACCTCACCATTCCCCCACGAGCAGTATGGTTGCCGATGCGCGTGACCGCAATTAACGGTGTTTGTCGGTCTAACTCTCCGCTGTAGCGGCTCCTGCTTTTAGTCCTCGCGAGAACAGCTCGTGCGCGTCGCCCCTCTGAACGAACTGCGCGTCGCAGCAAGCGGTCGCTAGCTTCGCACAACCGTGCGTGTTTTTTGAGAGTTTGCTAACATCTCTCAAACCAAGTCTCCCGTCTCTTTCGAATTCTTCGCACGACCCCGCGGATTTGTCCATAGCTGCATCTGTACGGCTCGATGGCGTTTCTGACCCTCCCTCTCACCGTTACACTGCTAGTTTCGTAGGACATAGCGGTCGAATTTACAGCTCTATTAAAGCTACACCGCTAAATTCGACATCATGGATCTTACAGTCTCTCTCATCCCCGACCGTTCCTGCTGGGTGCGCCTCCCCCTCCACTTCCTCCACTCTCTCACCCTCTCCTCCTCCTCCGACGAACCCCCTCCCGCCCCTCTCCTCCTCGACCTTCGCCGAACCTCCCCTCCTCCCTCCTCCCAACCGTCGTCTCACGCATCTTCCCACGCCTCTTCCCAAGCCTCTTCCCGAGCCTCTTCATCCCGAGCCTCGGCCAAGCCGCTCTTCTTGGCTTGGGGCGGAGCCGCGGCAGCAGGTTCGGCGCTGGAGGTTCCGCGGGAGTTGGGGGAGTGTCTGGGGCTGGCGGAGGGGGAGGGGGTGCGCGTACGGGTGCGCCTGTGGGGGAGCATTCCGCCCGCGGAGGCTGTCCACGTGGCACCTGCCACGTCAGACGACTGGGAGGTGCTGGAGCTGAATCCGGCGCTTTTGGAGGAGACCATTCTGCAGCAGGTGGGTTCCGGGGGAGGTGGGTTGCGGGGACAGTGGGATTTGAGGAAGTGAGATTTGAGGGAGGGGGGATTTGGAGGAAGTGAGATTTGAGGGAGGGGGGATTTGGAGGAAGTGCGATTTGAGGGAGGGGGGATTTGGAGGAATTGCGATTTGAGGGAGGGGGGATTTGGAGGAAGTGAGATTTGAGGGAGGGGGGATTTGGAGGAAGTGCGATTTGAGGGAGGGGGGATTTGGAGGAAGTGCGATTTGAGGGAGGGGGGATTTGGAGGAAGTGCGATTTGAGGGAGGGGGGATTTGGAGGAAGTACGATTTGAGGGAGGGGGGATTTGGAGGAAGTGAGATTTGAGGGAGGGGGGATTTGGAGGAAGTGCGATTTGAGGCCCCATTCTGCAGCAGGTAGGTTCGGGGGAAGGTGGGTTTCAAGGGAGACTATTTCCGCTTGATCCAGCTGGGGGCAGGGGCGCAGGTGCGCAGTTCTTTTCCTCAATGGACGCACAAGACTCCCCCAGATCCCCCCCATAATTTCCCCCCATTCGTGCGCCCCCCCCCTCCTGAACTTTTTCCCCTGCTGCGCGCAGGTGGGCGCGGTTGCAGCAGGGCAGTCCTTCCCCATATGGGCGCAGGGGCAAGCGCCCTTGCGCCTGTGCGCCCTCTCTGCGTCCCCCTCCCCCTTGGTGCGCCTTGTGCCCGGATCCGAGGTCATTGTTGCCCCCCGCACTAGGGGGAGCGCGGTGGAGGGCGCGGAGGGGGAGGAGGAAGGCGCAGGAGAGACACTGATAGGTGGGGCAGGGGGAGCGGGAGGGGGAGGGGGAGAGGAGAAGGGAAAGGAGGGGAAAGATGGGAAGGGAAGAGGTGGAAGGGAGAGGAAGGTGCGAGTGTGGTTGCGTGTACAGCCCTTTGATTGGTCCGTCGTTTCAGGCCAATCACACGACAGCTCTAGTGACGATCTGGCACTTTGTGATACACGTGGCTTGTGTAGCAGCAGCAGCAAGGGGGGCGCAGCAACAGATAGCAGCAGAGGAGGAGGGGGAGGGAGTGGAGATGGGTTGGTGGTGGTGGAGCCAGCAGGGTGTGTGTTTGTGAGCGAGGCTGACTGGAAGCGAGTGGGAGGGGGAGGGACACAGCTGCAGAACGTGCCTTGTTCTGTAAAGCCCTCGCATGCAGCACAGGAGAGCAGTCACGAGAGTGAGAGCAAAGATGGGAGTGCGGGTGAAAGTGTGAGCGGGAGTGTGAGTGTTCACAGCACAACAGCACGTCCCCCTCTCCTCCTCCTTCTCCACGTGCCAGCATCAGCCCGCCACCCAAAACCCACCAATCAGGGCTCAGCTTCCAGCCGCTCCAGCCAATCACAGCGCTTCTCCTCGCGCACCTCCGTCCCTGTGCGGGTGCTGCCCTCCTGCCACGTGGCAGCAGGCCATTTGATGGTACCTCCGGCACTTTCCCTGTGCCTGGCAGTAGACTGGTTCTCAAAGGTGCTCCTCAAAGGGACTGTAGGCGCTTGGGGTGGTGGAGAGGGGTGGAACACGGTTGGGGCTGGTGATGATGGGTGGAATGCGGTTGGGGGTGGTGGAGTGGAGACCCGGAACGGTGGAGGGGAGGGAGTGAGTGGGGGAAGAAGCAGAGGGAGTGCAGGGAAAGGGAGTGTGAGGGAACCCTCTCACACATCTCCTCCCTCCACTGTCTCCTCCTGCCTCCTCATCCCCCCTCCCCCCTCTCTCTTCCTCACCCCTCTGGTGCTCTCTGGTGCTGCGTCAGTGGGGGGTGCGGGGTCAAGGGGAGGATCCCGGGGAGCAGGCGCAGGAGGGGGAGCGGGAGGGGGAGGGAGTGTTATTGGTTTTCTTTATCCAGGGAACGAGCAGCAGCAGATTCAGCAGCTGGATCGGCAGCAGCAGGCGCGGTTAGGAGCGGTTGGAGTGGGTGCTGCTGTTGAAGCAGCAGCAAGGCATTGGAAGAGAGTAGCTGGGTGGAAGGGAAGAGAGGTGGGACAGACTGGAGAGAGAGAGACAGGTACTGGAATGGGGGAGCGAGAGAGAAGGGAGCGAGAGGCGGAGGAGGGGACGGAGTCACGAGGGCGTTCTGAGGCGTCTCAAGAAAAGAAGGATCCAGGGGTGAGGGCGCTGGCGTGTGTGTTGCTGCAAGGAGGGTTGGGTCAAGCAAAGAGGGGAGTGGGGCAAGCAAGGGGAGAGATGGGAGTGCCTCTGGTAGATGGTGCAGTGCTGAGACTGGTGTGGTGGGATGGAGTCAATTGGGGCGGAGTGGATGGGGATGGGTCTGCTGCAGAGGGAGGTGAGAGGGAGGGTGAGAGGGTGGAAGGTAGAGTGGATTGTGAGGCGCCAGAAACAGCAGCGACGGCACCATTACCAGCAAGAGCAGCAAGAGCAGCAGCAGGAGCAGCAGGAGCAGCAGCAGGAGCAGCAGGAGCAGCAGCAGGAGCAGCAGCAGGAGCAGCAGCAGGAGCAGCAGCAGGAGCAGCAGCAGGAGCAGCAGGAGCAGCAGCAGGAGCAGCAGCAGGAGCAGCAGCAGGAGCAGCAGGAGCAGCAGCAGGAGCAGCAGCAGGAGCAGCAGCAGGAGCAGCAAGGGACGCTCTCTTTCTTCTCACTTTTGGCTCACCACCTGGAGCACGCACTCGCTCCGCTGCTGCTGCTGCTGCTGCTGCTAGCGCAACTGCTTCCAATACTGGTACTGGTTTAGGTAACTCGTCATACGACACACACCGACAGCAGCAGCAGATGGGGGCCTTGACTGCTTTGGCAGGGGCAGTGTTGGGAGGAAGCATGGGGCTGGGAGGTGCGGGAGGGCAGGGGATGATGGGTGGGGGTGGAACCATGGGGCCTGGCGGCATGGCAGGAGGGATGGGCCTTGGCAGCAGCATGGCAGGAGGGATGGGCCTTGGCAGCAGCATGGCAGGAGGGATGGGGCCTGGGAGCAGCATGGGAGGAATGGGAGGAATGGGAGGAATGGGTGGAATGGGTGCATATGGGAGTGTGGCACCAGTATCAGGCTCTATATCCCATGGGTCCACACTGGAATCTTCACATACATCTGCAGATGGACCTTCTTCTGAAGCTTCCAAGACGCTTCCTGCCCTCCGGGCGGCTGCCAGCGAGGCGGTCGACAGCCTGGCGCTGCTGACTGCCGTCCAATCGGAGCGCAGCACTGTCGCACTGGGAGCTCCCATGGAGTGGGCTGTCCCCTTTACAAGCAGCCCCGGACTCGTTTGTAGCCCGGTGCAGGCCCAGTCAGCAGCATCGCCTCATCATAACTCAGTCATCTCTCCGGGTCACTCCTCTGATAATGTATTTCCTGTGATTTCTGCTCTACTGCCCCTGCCCGCACCCTCAGCACCACCGTTAAGCGCACCAGCACTGACATCAGTAACAGCGTCATCATCAGCATCAGCAGTACCATTGAAAGCCATTGCACCACCCCTTGATCACCCCTTCTCCTTCACTCTTTCCTGGCTTCACCAACCAGCCTCCACTGCCCTCTCCCGCCTCCTCGCCTCTCTCTCCCTCCCCTTCCGCCTCACCCGTCGCTCCCTCCGCCTCCCTTCCCCAGGCTCCATTCTCCTCCATGGCCCCCCTGCCAGCGGCAAAACCTCCCTAGCTTCGGCCCTCGCCTGGCAGGTTCGGAACGACCGGACCTGCCTCGCGCACACGGAGTTTGTCAGCTGCTCCAGGCTCGGGTCCGACCCTGTGAAGGAGGTTCGGCGGGTGCTGGGGAGGGCGGTGGCGCGGGCCAATGAGAGGGCGCCAGCTGTCGTCGTGTTGGACGATCTGGATGTGCTGGTTCCGGGGGCGAGTGGGGGGCCGGAGGAAGGGACAGGTGGCGGCGCGGGATTAGTGGAGTTTATTGCTGACCTGATGGATGAATGCCAGGTGAGCAGCATGGTGACATGGCATGTGTATGGTGCGCATTTGATAGGGAATATACACAAATGTAAGATCAGCAGCCATGCCTTTCACTCTCACATCTCTGTCCCCTCTCGCCGCCGTCCTCAACCCACTTCACCTCCCTTCACCTCCCTTCACCTCACTTTTCCTTACATATCCTCTCTTCTCCTCACTTCACCTCACTTCACCGCACTTCACCTCACCTCACCTCTGTCGCCTCCCTCCCTGTCCGTCCTCTTCCCTCCTTTTCTCCCCTTACTTCTCTCCCAGGCCCACCAGTCCCCTATAGCCTTCCTAGCAACAGCCCCCTCGCCATCCGCCATAGCGCCATCTCTCCGTGCTGCATGCCGCTTTGACACCCCTGTGGAGCTACCCGCCATGGGGGAGGGCGAGAGGGCAGCACTGCTCAGACGGATCCTTCTGGAGAGGGGGATTGGGTGGCAGGGAGGGGATGCTCTGCTCCAATCAGTGGCCGCCAGGTGTCAGGGCTGCGACGCGTCGGATCTTGAGGTGCTGGTCGATCGTGCGGCTCACGCGAGGCGAGGGCATGTGATGTTCGAAGCAGGGAGAAGGGGAAAGGGTGGGGATGCGGGTGGGGGTGGGGATGGGTTTGGGGAAGGTGAGAGTGAGGGCGGAGGGGGAGGAGAGAAGAAAGGGGGAGGAGAGAAGAAAGGGGGAGGAGTTAGCAGAGGCAGAGTGGCCATGATGGTGCCTGGAACGGGCAGAGGAGAGCAGCGGCCGCCACAGGAGCAGGTGGAGCAGGAGCAGCAGGAGCAGGAGGAGCAGGAGGAGCAGCAGGAGCAGCAGGAGCAACAAGAGCAGTCGATACAGCAGGGGCAACACAGGGAGAAGATGCAGCAGGAGGTGCAAGAGCAGTCAATACAGCAAGTACACCAGCAGCAACACGCGCTCCTTCTCTCCGAGCCAGACTTCTCCTCCGCCCTCCAGGGCTTCGTCCCAGCAGCCGTGCGCGGCGTCGCCAAGCTCTCCGCCTCCTCCGACCCCTCCTCCTCTTCATCCTCTTCCGCCTCCCCCCAGCTAGGCTGGGACGACGTGGGAGGAATGGCCGACGCCCAAACAGCCCTGCGAGAAGTCTTAGAGCTCCCAGCCCAGCACTCCCATATCTTTGCCTCAGCTCCTCTCCGCCTTCGCACTGGCGTGCTCCTTTTCGGCCCTCCCGGGTGTGGGAAAACGCACATTGTCGGCGCTGCTGCTGTTGCGTGTGGGATTCGGTGTGTCTCGGTGAAAGGCCCGGAGCTCCTGAATAAGTACATCGGAGCTTCGGAGCAGGCGGTTCGGGACGTGTTCTCCCGAGCCTCCCGCGCCGCTCCGTGCATTCTGTTTTTCGACGAGTTTGACGCGATTGCGCCGCGAAGAGGGCATGATAGCACGGGGGTGACCGACAGAGTAGTGAATCAGCTATTAACGGAGCTAGATGGTGTGGAGGGGTTAGAAGGGGTTTTTGTGGTGGCCGCTACGAGCCGTCCAGATCTGATCGATCCGGCTCTGCTGCGTCCTGGACGGTTGGATCGGCTCGTGCTCTGCGATTTCCCCGGGGAGGAGGATCGGCTGTCGATTCTGCGCGCGCTTTCCAGGACGCTTCCTCTGGGTGCTGACGTGGACCTTGCTGAGCTGGCACGGCGCACGGAGGGGTTCAGCGGCGCGGATCTTCAGGCCTTGCTGGCAGATGCACAGCTGGCAGCGGTGCATGCTGTGCTGGATGAGAGTGAGAGGGTGGGAGGAGGGGAGGGTGAAGGGGGGGGAGAAGGGAAGAGTGAGAAAGTGGAAAGAGGGAAGGAGGGAGCTGGGGAGGAGACGAGAAATGGAGATGGAGGGGACGAGAAGGCAGAGGTGGAAGCAGAAGCAGGGAGGCAGGCATCAGGGACAGGAGGGGCAGCAGACGAGGCAGCAGGAATCGAGGACCAAAAGAAGCAGCATAGAGGGAAGGCAGGAGCAGCGAGGAAGGGCAGAAAGGGCAGGAAGGGGCAGAAAGCGGAGGGAGTGGTGGAGGTAGGGAGGCCGGTACTGGGGAGGGTGCATCTGGAGCAGGCTGTGGGGAGCGTGCGGCCATCCGTGTCAGCAGCAGAGAGGCAGCGACTGTCGGATATCTACGATGAGATGATGGGGGCCAGGAAGGGGAGCAGTGCTGCTGCCATGGCGGAGAGGAAAGGGAAAAGAGCCACACTAGCTTAGGAGGAGTCAGCGGTGCCTGCGTGGCTTAACTGCATAGAGGCTGAGACTGTTGGAAATTTACGATGAGATGATGGGTGCGAGGAAGGGTGGTAGTGCTGCTGCGATGGCAGAGAGGAAAGGAAAGAGGGCCACCTTTGCCTGAATCCTGAGCCGTTAGTGTGTCATAAGACAGTCAGTGTCAGCACCTTCATGAGTGAATCCTGAGCCGTTAGTGTGTCATAAGACAGTCAGTGTCAGCACTCAGCAGCAGAGAGGCAGCGGCTGTCGTACCGTATATCTGTGACGGGATGATGGGGGCGCGGAAGGGGGCGAGGCGAGTGCTGCTGTGATGGCGGAGAGGAAAGGGAGGAGGGCCACACTAGCTTAGGAGTGAGTGCGGCTGGCTTTGCTGCAGAGAGGCAGAGGCTGTCGGATATGTGCCATGGGATGGGATGGTGGCGGCGAGGCAGAGGCTGTCGGATATGTGCCATGGGATGGGATGGTGGCGGCGAGGCAGAGGCTGTCGGATATGTGCCATGGGATGGGATGGTGGCGGCGAGGCAGAGGCTGTCGGATATGTGCCATGGGATGGGATGGTGGCGGCGAGGCAGAGGCTGTCGGATATGTGCCATGGGATGGGATGGTGGCGGCGAGGCAGAGGCTGTCGGATATGTGCCATGGGATGGGATGGTGGCGGCGAGGCAGAGGCTGTCGGATATGTGCCATGGGATGGGATGGTGGGGGCGAGGCAGAGGCTGTCGGATATGTGCCATGGGATGGGATGGTGGCGGCGAGGCAGAGGCTGTCGGATATGTGCCATGGGATGGGATGGTGGCGGCGAGGCAGAGGCTGTCGGATATGTGCCATGGGATGGGATGGTGGCGGCGAGGCAGAGGCTGTCGGATATGTGCCATGGGATGGGATGGTGGCGGCGAGGCAGAGGCTGTCGGATATGTGCCATGGGATGGGATGGTGGCGGCGAGGCAGAGGCTGTCGGATATGTGCCATGGGATGGGATGGTGGCGGCGAGGCAGAGGCTGTCGGATATGTGCCATGGGATGGGATGGTGGCGGCGAGGCAGAGGGGCCGTGCTGCTGCCATGGCTTGCCATGGCTGAGGGGAAAGGAAAGACGGCCATGGCTGAGGGGAAAGGAAAGACGGCCATGGCTGAGGGGAAAGGAAAGACGGCCACGCCACCTTTTCTTGGCCTGAATCCGGAGCTGTATTGTGGAGAGGCAAAGGCGGTGGGTTATTCACAATGGCATGCCTTGTGCTTCCTGATTGGAAAAGGGTTTGTGATACGGTAGTATTGTAGTCATTAAAAGAGGAGCAAGATATGCGTGAAATAGCTGTTGATAGACCCGAAAAAATAGGATTTCACGGCACTTTATTAAGCCAGACCAGACTAAGCAAGCACAGGCTACCACGGCGCCATGATGTATCCTCCTACACCAAATTGAGAGCTCCACTCCACCACCACACTGGAACCCCTGTGAATCCTAAACCCTTCAACCTAATAAAGCTCACTATTAAACACCATTTTGTAAGGCAGGTCCAGCATAGCCTGGAAAAACAGCGGCTCCGGGATGTTCCAATCCTTGAAGTACGATTGTACCGAAACCGCCTTTATCCCGATATCTTTCTTCGGGCAGGAAACAAATTCGGGGTGCTCCGCCAACACCACCGATCCCTCCGAAACCCCGAAATCCTGATTTGCATAATCAGCAAATTTCATGTCATCGCCAGTGTACCTGTAGACAACCTGCCGGTTCAAATAGTCCGCGCCAGGGTTTTTCTCGCAGTACCGATATTCCGCGTCCCTGAGAGAGTCCGGATCGACGACGATATATTCGACGTCGTTTTCCGTCGCCATTCCGCTGCACGCGCCGGTGTCGTGCGCAGTGAGCGCGCCGGGCCCGGGCGGGTTGCAGCTGTACGCGCCGATGCGCGTCTGCCGACACACGTGCTTCATCCACGGCCATTCCTTGTAAGGGGAACAAGGGGTGGGGGTTTGGCGAGGGGTGCAGAGGGGTGGAGAGGGGTGCAGAGGGTTGAATGGGGTGCAGAGGTGTGCAGAGGTGTGCAGAGGTGTGCAGAGGGGTGCAGAGGGGTGAAGAGGGGAGAGAGGGGAGGAGAGGGGTGGAGAGGGGTGTAAGAGGGGAGGAGAGGGATGAAGAGCGGTGGAGAGAAGTGGAGAGGGGTGGAGAGTGGTGGAGAGGGGTGGAGAGCGGTGGAGAGGGGCGGAGAGGGGCCGAGAGGGGTAGAGAGGAGCTCTGAACCGGGCTTTGTCCCAACCCCACCATGAGGACTTACCTTGTTGATCTCAGGCGTGTCGTAGTACAGCTTCCGCATGGCCTCCCAATACGACCCGGGGTCCTTTCGACAGTGGTTGACCGTGACAGTGAAGCACGTGATGTAGCCGGGGCTCTGGCCCAGCCCCACCATGAGCAGGCTGCGGATGTGGTTCCTCTTGCCGTTGTTCAGCTTCACACCGTCCCACAGCTGCAGGCACACGCCCCCCTGAATCTCCACGCCTGACGTGCAGTAGTCCAGGTAGTAGCAGTGGTCCCCGCCGATCACATAGTTGCAGCTCACCGTGTTCCCTGCGTGGGTTGGGGTGGAGTGGAGTGCGGTGCAATGTGGTGGGGCGCGGTGGAGTGCGGTGAGAAAGAGTCAGAGCCCACAGCTGCAGACACACGCCTTCCTGGAGGTAGTAGCAGTGATCCCTGCCGATCACATAGTTGCAGCTCATCATGTTGCCTGGATAGGGTGGAGTGCGGTGGAATGCATTAGAATGTTGTGAGAAAGAGTCAGAGCCCATAGCTGCAGACAGGCACACGCCCCCCTGGATGGCCACGCCTGACGTGCAAGGTAGTAGCAGTGGGTGGGGGGGGGTCGAGTGCGGTGGGATGAGGTACAGAAGAGCCAGAATCCAGAGGTGCAGGGAGGCAGGCATAGGAGCGGCAGTCACATAATCCGAATGAAGTTGAGAGCCCGTCTCAAGAGTGGCTGAGGCTTATCAGGGTTTAAGGCTCACCGGGGCTGAAGGCTCACCGGGGCTGAACCAGTGCGTGCAGAAGTAGATGCCAGCAGAGTCGCCTGTGAGGTTCTTCTTCTGCGGGGAGAACACAAAGTTGTGCTTCACTGTCGTCAGCGCACAGTCCCACGCGAAATGCACGTCCGCTCCACACCTGTGCACACGGGGAATGGAAAGAGAGTGTGTAAGGATAACGACGATGGAAAAGGAGATGGTGAGGGTGGGAGAGGAAGTTCTGGTTGGTAACAACAGCCGCGCGATTCTAAAACCATGCACCGCACAGCACCGCAGAAGAGTATGTGAAACGAGGTGCTTAAGAGCTCTGAAACGCAGTGCACCTCTCTGTTTACGCTAAGCACCGCACCTGAAGCCTGAGAAGAGGTAGTCGTGGAGGAAGTTGTTCCTCACAGTAGCTCCAATGGTTCCCCGATAGAGGTAGATGAGCTCCCACGCGCCAAAGAGGTCGTTATTGGAGATTATATTCTCGGAGGAGGTGAGGTTGACGCCGATGCCGCTCATGCCCATGCGGATGACCCCCGGGTGGTATTGGAAGTCCCAGGGCGCCGTGGCAAAGAGCGAGTCCAGCTTCGTGTATGCGCAGCGGAACACGTCTATCCGCCCCACCACTGACGCCTGCGTGAACTGAATGCCGTACGACCTGCAGGGGAGGGTAGGTGTAGCAGCAGCAGCAGGAGGCAGAGGAGGCGGGCCTAGTGAGAAAAGAAAGAGCGATTCTAGCACCTGCTATGTGCCCCACCCCACCACTAACGCCTGCGTGAACTGAATGCCATACGACCTGCAGGCAAGGGAAGAACAAGGGAACGGTAAGGCAGCAGCAGCAGAGGAGGAGACAGAACAGGTTATTTGGCAGGCACACCAGGCTTTAATAGATGCCTTCAACAAGCCAGCAGCAGAAATGCAACCATTACGTCCTGAATTCAACAAACCCCAAAACGAACCACAAAACGCACTTCAAAACGAACCCAAAAACGCACCGGTAGATGAGCAGAGCCGGGCACAGGAGGTCGTTCCCCAACAAATTCCCATACTCGGGCAGCGACTCGCAATAAGCTGACCCGTTTCTGACAGGACTCCTCAGACCGATCCCGATAAACACCATGTTGCTCGCGTTGTGCACCTGCAACATAGTACCGCACAGCACAGAGGGTCCGCGTGAGTCGTGAATGTCAGTGGTAATTGTGAGTGTGAGAGATGATTGTGAGTGAGAGAGATGATAGTGAGTGGGTGGTGATCTATCTGGCAAGATGCCACAAGGCTCAAGGCGAGGGATAGGCAAATCGGAACGGGCTCCTCAAACCGATCCTGATCAACACCTGATGCAGGCAGGGACTCCGTGTCCGTGGTGATCTCCAGGCTATTTTTTCCATTCCAAGGCAGCTCTACGTGAGAGTGAGGGCTTCCCTCAACGCATCTGAAGCACGGGCTCTACGTCAGTCGTAATCTCCTGAACATGCTCACTGGGGGAGCGTATCCAGCTGGAAGATGGCGCAGGAGAAGTCAAGCTTTCTTTTCAGAAGACTCAATACGTTTCGAAGAACGCACCTGAAGAACGGGCTCCGTGTCGGTGGTGATCTCCAAAACGTATTCGCTGGGGAGCGTGTCTGCCTGGAAGATGGTGCATGAGAAGCTCGAATCGAGCACCAACGAGTGGTCGAGAGTAATCGACGCCTGCAGCACCAGGGTGACGGTCTGGTTCCACGGGTACTTCGTGCGCGATAGAATGTGGTCCAGAGTGGTGACGTTGATCACCGGTCCGGTGCTCCTGGGGCTGCATGGGGACTCTCCCGCCGGCCGATTCTCCTCCCATGGAGTCGGAGGCGACGTGTCGCTCTTGCTTTTCGTACCGGATGAGGAAGAAGAACAGTTGCACGAGGGGGAATCGGAAGAGGAGGAAGAGGAAGAGGAGGCAGAGGAAGAGGAATTGGAAGAGGAGGAGGGAGAGGGATCGGAGGAGGAGGAGGCAATGGAGGCAGAGAAGGCGGAGGGGGACGCTGAGGAGGAGCGGGTAGCGGAGGCTTTAAGGTTCTGCCAGGAGCGCGTGCCTCCCGGCATGAGATCCAACAGCTCCTCCTCTGTGGGGCTCGCGACTCGCGCAGCAGTAGAACCATCACCACCATCACTACTATCGCTACTACCAACGCTACCACCAGCGCTGCTAACCGCGAAAACGCCACTTCCGCTCCTCTCCGGCCGTGCGTGCGCCTGTTTTCCCTGCGCGCGCGCCCACTTGTGCCTGGCGCGCCTGGCGCGCTTCTCCGACTTCCGCTGCGCCACCCCCTGCAGGCGCGCGCTTTGCCTGCGCCACTCCTGCAGCCGCCCTTCGAACTGCGCCTCCGTCTCCTCCCACAGCGCGCGCGCCATCTCCGCGTGCGCCGCCCGCTTCGCCCGCTCCGCTTCATCCTCCTCCGTCTGCCCGAGCTCGCGCGCGCGCGCGGCCTCCCACCGCAACACCTCGCTCCGCGCCCACTCGGGAATCTCCCCGCCTTCCCCTCCGCTGCCAATACCGCCGCCACTGCCGCCACCGCTGCTGCTGTCGCTGATGCTGATGCTGCTGCTGCTGATCAGTCCGCGTCCTCCTGCCGTCATCTCCCCTTCCTGCGCGCGCCACCGTCCGAGGTTCCGCACTGGAACCCCGTTAGAAGCATGCACGCCCGCACTGTTGTACACGATAGAAGCAGCCGCGTTACGGGCTGTGAAGCCGACCGCCAGCAGCGCCACGAACGCCAGCTGAACGGCCGAGAAGGCTTGGGAACGGCGGAACGATACGCCGACACTGGGGCTCGTGCGACGCACACTGAGCGTCGCACGCGATGCCTGCCGGGCACAAGATGACGGGACAGAGGTCGTAGATTACGGGCGAAAGTTTTGGACCAATAAAGGCAGAGGTGTTTCCTGAGTGGTTGCAATCGGAGGAATAAAGTAGCGAGAGGAAGGGAAGGAAATGGGTGGTACATGGTGCAGTTCGATAGTACTACTTACAGCAGTCGTCATTCGAGTCATGAAAGGTTCTTCAGCGTGGACGAGGTCGAGTGTGCAGCCAACCGTCTTTCGATTGCCCCGAGCTGCGTGGCCCGAACCGCCTTTCGATTGCAGTTCGGCGTAAGTATTGGAACCAGAGTCAGAGTCAATCTTACTGTTTACTTAAATCGGAGTCGATTTATGCGGGAGCAACAAAAATCCACGGAAACGTGGCCTGCTGCGCAGGCGCGTGCTCGGAAAAAAAGGTATGGGGATCAGTGGGCTCAGAGATTTGAAGTAGTTTATATATGTCTAGGCTAATGCGAGTGCCTAAAGGACCCGAATATTATTGAGACACGAGGACACGGAGACTGGTAGCCGGCAACTTCTAGGTGCAAATTCAGGTATGTCGCCGGAATTTACAGGGCAGGAGACCGCGGGATGATTAGGGAGGGGCAGCGCGCACATAAATACTGCTTCTGCTGCCATTGAGTTGACTCCAATGCTACCGCTGCTGCCACGGCGACGCGTGACCGTGTCGGGGACGATCTGCCCGACCCGTAGCGCCTGACTTCCTCGGCAGCTCGTATAATTTTGGCATCTGTGAAACCTCCGCGGCTCGTGTAATGCCTGCGGTTCAGAAACTCTGGTGTAGTTTTGTCGCGGGATGAGGCTTTCACAATTATGGGCTCGGTTGGGATGGCGGATGCTGGACATGGCGGCTTCTGCGGGGGGCACATCCGCGTACTAGCGAGTTCTGGCGACATATGGACTAGTCGCTCCAATAATTTCCGGTGTTCGGGTCTGGACGGACGTGGCTCAGGCTTTGTCGCAGCAGAGCATATCCCTATGCGTTATGAGAAAGGTCTCGGATTCCACAATTATGGAGAGGGAATTCTGGCTGGAAGGAGGGGATGGTGAGTGGGGTGCGGAAGCTATGGACAGAAATGACAATTATTGGTCCTCCACAGGGAATGTCGGGGTTGGCGAAGGTGGTGTGAAGCATACTCACCACTCAGAAACGTAATCGACCGCTATCTGTCTGCTGAAGTAAATCAGCCTCGGGATGAAGACAATCTCGGTGGTGTCTCGGGTGACCTGCGAAAGGCGGCGACCCTTTTCGCGCATCTCGAAAAGACTAGATGACCAACAGACTCGTCCGTTGGTTGCATCTTCACCGTTGGGATTCGTAACAGAGCGAGATGCGAAAAAGAACAACATAGATATCTTCTAATGGAGAGCGCAGTATAGCGAACAGGTACACTTCAGAAACTGCTACAACACGAGTTTGTGCTGAATGATACAGTAAATGTGAAAGTGGTCTCATGAGAGTGTATGCTATTGTTACGAGTGCAATTGAGTGGACGAACGAGAATTGCACTACCAAAGCAAGAATACAAATGAGCGAAGGCATGAGCGAACATTATATAGCGAAACTACAGTGGTAACGGTAATGGTCGCGCGACGAGCCTGGGACTGAGGTTGGGAAAGTGTCGAAGCGTAGGTCCGGAGCGCGGGTTACCAGCCGAGCCGTGAGGTCGGGATGCGATGTGCGAAAAGGGCGGGATGATGAATGATGCGATGGTCGCGAGTGGTAACGGTGCTGACTGAGGTGCTACAGTGATGTACGCGTTGAGCAGGGACGCGAAGTAAGGAAAAGGGAATTTCCTTACACTACCCCCCCTCCTAAGGAGGTCCTCCTTATGAAAGCGCGTGGATGTCTCGGAAATTGCGGCTACGCAGGTAGTCGGTGACGACGGGGTGATTTTCAACTTTCTCCAGGGGAACCCAATTGTCCTCGGTGGGGGTACGATCTTTCCAGCGGATCAGAAACTCCACTTTTCGGGCTCCTCGAGGGTCGCGAACTCTGTGGCTCAGGATCTTGTCGGGGGTGATGACTGGTTCGGTTGGTGGTCGTGTCATGCTGGTGGGTCGATGTCGTGGGAGTTGGCTGGTGGATGGCACGTAAGGGCGAAGTAAGCTGACGTGGAACGAGGGGCTGACGTACCAGTCAGCAGGGAGGAGGAGGTGCGCGGTGACTGGCGTAACCATGTGACTGATTCGAAATGGCCCACAGTATCGAGGGCGGTTTTTTGGAGTGATCGGCAGGCGGAGGTTCTGAGTGTCGAGTAAAACGAGGTCGTCGGGTTGATAAGTAACGGGTCTGCGATGGCGATCGGCGTTGCGTTTAGCGATGATGTTTGATTTTTTTATTGCTTCTGCTGCCCTGGTCCGTGCTGCTTGCAGAATCTCGGCGAACTGTTGTGCTCGTGGGACGGGGTTGTCGGGATTCGGTGTCATGGGTACTGTTGGGTCCTGTCCGTAATTCAAGTAAAACGGCGACTGTTGCGTCGTGGCTGATGGTGCGTTATTGTATGCGAACTCGATGAGTGGCAGTTGCTGTTCCCACGTATTCGGATCGTCGCACGTGGCTCGAATCAGCTGCTCCATGGTCTGATTTGTCCGTTCCGTCTGTCCGTCGGTTTCGGGGTGAAAGGATGAACTGAACTGTAAGCGTGTGCCGAACTGCTGCCACAAGTTCCGCCAGAAGTTGCTTGTAAATTTCGTGTCCCTGTCGCTGATGATCGATGCGGGTATCCCGTGCAGTCGAACGACGGTGGTGATGAAGAGTCAGGCGGTTTCCTCGGCTGTGATTGATTTCCTGCATGCTGCGAAATGAGCCATCTTCGTTAGTCGATCGACGACGACCAGGATCGCGTCATTCCCACTCGCCCCAGCTGGTAACCCCGTGACGAAATCCATCGTCACCTGCTGCCAAGCACGCTCTGGGGGCGGGATGGGTTGTAATTGTCCTGCCGGCCGCTTCCTGCTTGACTTCATGAGCTGGCAAGTGGGGCACGATGCCACGTGTCGTTGCACATCGGTCAACATTTCTGGCCAGTAGTAGTACCGCTGCAGCTGCTGCCGTGTTTTTTCTACTCCGAAATGTCCCGAGGTAACTCCGTCGTGTGCTTCCTGTAACAGTAGTTCCCGCAGTAGCGTGTATCCTGGTACCCAGATGCGGTCGGTTCCAGCTTTTACGTAATAGACTCCTTTTGCCGCTGCGAATTGCTGTGAGTTGCCTCCTGTAAAGAACGGGTCTGTTTGATATCCGTGGGTAAATAGGCCTGTCAGTAGCGGGCTGGTCTGGGCGAGTAGTATCGCGTGGATCTGGGCAGTGGGGCGGGTCAGTGCGTCGGCGATATTCGAGGCTCCTTTTTTGTATGTGACCGTATAGTGAAAATTCGACTCGAGGAAATCGAGCCATCGAATCTGTCGTGGGTTGAGGTGGGGCTGTGCGCGGAGGTACTGTAGAGATCGATGGTCTGTCCGTACTGTCACGTCTGCGCCGGTCAAGTAGCAGCGCCACACTTTGAATGCGTGCACGATCGCGAGCATTTCGCGGTCGTGTATCGGGTAATTTCGCTCAGGCGGATGTAGTTTGCGTGATTCGTAGGCGATGGGTTGGAGGCCGTCGCCGAAGTCCTGTAACAGTACAGCTCCGATGGCGATGTCACTTGCGTCGGTAACCACTTCGAAAGGGCGGTGGGGATCAGCGATGCGTAGAACGGGTGGTGAACAGAGAACGTTTTTCAGGGCAGAGAAGGCAGCATGCTCTTTCTCCCCCCACGTAAAAGCGACCCCCTTACGCAGTAAATCAGTGAGTGGGGCTGTTAAACGTGCCATGTCGGGCACGAACCGTCGAATGTAATTAACAAAACCTAAAAAACTCTGCAGTTCCGTGATGTTCGTCGGGGGGCGCCACGCTTTTACCGTATCCAGCTTCTTTGGGTCGATCTCAACCCCAGCCTCCGAAATGACGTGACCCAAAAACTCTAGCCTGTCCCGAAAAAACTCGCACTTGGAGCCCTTGGTGAGTAGCCGATGTTCCTCCAAAACCTTAAAAAACGCTTCAAGATCCACTAAGTGCTGCTGCTTATCTCGGCTGTAAACTAGAATATCGTCCAGGTAAACTATCACGCATTTATCTAAAAGTGGTCTAAACGCCTCGTTCATGGTCATCTGAAATGTCGCAGGCGCGTTCGTCAGCCCGAATGGCATTACTGTATACTCGAATGACCCGTACCTAGTCCTAAATGCTGTTTTGGCGCAGTCCGATGGTTCGACCCGAATCTGATGGTAACCTCCCCGTAAATCTATTTTCGAAAAGACTCGTGCTGTTCGCAGTTGGTCGATCAGTTCGTCGGCGCGGGGGATGGGGTATCGCGATTTGACTGTTACCCTGTTAAGCGCTCGGTAGTCGATGCACATGCGGAACCCTCCGTCTTTTTTCGGTGTGAACAGTATCGGTGCGGCGAACGGTGACGAGCTCGGTCGGATAAACTGCTTCTCTAACAGGTAATCTAACTGCTTCCTTAACTCGTCGAGCTCGGGCTGTGTCAGTCGAAATTGCCGCTGTACAGTTGGCTGTGCCCCCGGTTCTAACTCGATCCTATGGTCGTGCGCCCGCTGAGGTGGCAGTCCCTGTGGTAAATCATCCGGAAATATCCCCGGGAACTGTTTCAGTAGCGCCTGTAGTTTGGTCGGTACAGTTGCCAGCAGTTTCTCCAAATCACTCGGCTGCTCATCTTTTTCTACGAGTGCGATATCCACTGCGTACACGTCAGCTCCAGCAGCGACAGCCCGTTTCATCGTGATGGCGTTGACCTGGACCGTCGAAGATTTGGGTGGCTGCTAGCGAGGTAGAACGACCCAGTTACCACTACTTCGCACTGTGCAGCTCCCCGTCGTCCAGTCGATCCGTGGGTTGTACCGTCGCAGCCAATCACGTCCCAATAAAATGTCGTGCCCATCCAGTGTCGTCGCGAGCATTTCCTGTGTAAACCCGAAGTTCCCCCCGCAGCGGACTTTTACGCGCTCCACCTTTTCCCGTATGGCCAGGGGCGTGTCGTCGACTAAGCGTGCATCTATCTCAGGTAAACATCGGTTAAGCGTTAACTGTAATTTTCGTGCGGTTGCGGTATTAACTAAGCTGTGGCTTGCTCCTCCGTCAATGAAGATCTTCACTGCTGCTCCCTGTATTTTCCCGTAGATCAGTACCGGGCAATCCGTCGCTGTACCCTCCTTATTCATCCGAGCCCGATCGACGGCGTGAATCGGTACTGTGACTCGGTGAGGGTCGGTGTGGTTGGGCGAGCAGGCAGTCTCGTCAGTAGTTGGCCTAACTTCTACTGACTGCTGGCGTTTCCCTGCCTCCGAGACTCCCTCCCCTGCTCTGCTCCTCGACGCCTCAGCTCCTCTGGACATTCGCTCTTGCGATGGCCCGGCCGGTTGCAAGCAAAGCAGTGCCCTCTAAACGGCGCGGCAGCTGCATTCGCTGCGACGGCATGTACAGTGGCGTGCTCGGTCGGTCCCCGAGGACGATGTCCGTAATAGGACCCCGGTCTCGGTCGGCGTAGGATATCGATTTTCTCGGTGAGCGCGAGGATCTCGTTGAAATTCAAGAGCCCGCGTAGCATTATCTCGTGCGAGATGTCCGGCTTCAGCCCTCCGACGTAACGATCCACCCGCTCCGCCTCGTGCATGTAGCCGACCTGTTCGCAAAGTGCGAGAAACCCGCTGGTGTAGTCTTGAACTGACCCGAGCTGGCGCCAAGTGCGCAGTTTCTGACGCGCCGAAATCGAGGCCGCGATCGGCTCAAAGCGCGCCCGAAGCCCTGCGCACCACTCATCCCACGTGCTGTATTGGGCGGTTTCGCAGAACGAACTCCAGGTAACAGCTGGACCCGAGGGCCCTTCCTCGTGCGACGGTGGCTCGTAGGCGCGCGGCGACGTCACAATGACTCGCCACCAGTCCATGGCGGGGCCCCTGAGTAGTGAAACCGCATACCGGATCTTGGCGGCGTCCGACTCGACGTAGTTGGCGTCGAAAAACACATTCATCGTGAAGACCCACGATTGAACTGTCGGGCCGCCGCGTTGGCTTGGGTCGAAGCAGGGCGGGCGTTGCGGCTTGAGTGGCATTGGGGCCATCATGGCGTTCTCGCCACTTATCGCCGCAAACTCCACGTGCCGACGGGCTTCTCGGGGCTCCCGTGGGCTTAATGCGCTCCTGTTTCCTCCCATGCCGGGCATCGGTTGGGCTACGTCGTCACTGGCTGCGCCTGAGCGCTGTCCCGTGCTGTTGTGTTGCGTTGGTGTGCCGGATGAGATGACGATGGGCTCCTCCGAATGTGCAGATGCATTGGTTGGTGCGTGTGATGTCGTCGGTACGTTCACCATTGACTGTTGACGGGCGGAGTCACGTTCCGCCGTGAGAGTCGCGATTTCGAGCGCCGAATCCTCCAATTGACGCACGAGACGATCGAGTTGCTCCTGCGTCAACGTGGCGAGATTGAAATCGGCCATGGCGGGGGTGTCGGGCAAGCTCAGCGAGAGCCTCGGTCGTGGCCGTGCGTGCTTTCGAGAGAGCACTACGAGCGGCGGTGCTGTGTCGCTGAGAGACGTCTACCCCCCCCAAAAATTGAGATAGTGGGAAGCGAAGGTGTGGATGCGGTCCGAGATGAGATCGTAGGCTCTGAATACCAAGTGTTACGAGTGCAATTGAGTGGACGAACGAGAATTGCACTATCGAAGCAAGAATACAAATGAGCGAAGGCATGAGCGAACATTATATAGCGAAACTACAGTGGTAACGGTAATGGTCGCGCGACGAGCCTGGGACTGAGGTTGGGAAAGTGTCGAAGCGTAGGTCCGGAGCGCGGGTTACCAGCCGAGCCGTGAGGTCGGGATGCGATGTGCGAAAAGGGCGGGATGATGAATGATGCGATGGTCGCGAGTGGTAACGGTGCTGACTGAGGTGCTACAGTGATGTACGCGTTGAGCAGGGACGCGAAGTAAGGAAAAGGGAATTTCCTTATAGCTATTCAGTATTTTGAACACATTCTGCAATTTGTACTTGTACCTCAATCATGGCTGCCGTGCGCTGCCGTTCCGCCGTTTCTCGCGGCGTGTGTGCGTCCGGGTCGCTGTTCGATTCGCAGCTTTCGCAGCGCATCGCAAGCATTCTCTGTTCCGCGTCCGATCTTCCTCCCTCCGTTTCGTCGCCTCATTCCGAGCCGCTGCGTGTGGCCGGTCCTGCTGCTGGGCTCTCGCGCTTCCATTCTTCTTCTTTTGTCGGCGTAGAGCCCAACACAGGTGCCTAAAACGCGGATGGGTTTAATAGCATCTGCTCGTTCTTTATTTCGTCCTTAATCCTGCTCGATTGTCTCTTTCACGTCGATTCCTCATCTCCCGCCTGTTTTGTTTTCACCCGTCGCTACCTTTCCATCGCCAGCAGGCTCCACTCCCTCGTCGCCAGCCGTCGCAGGCGACGTCGCACAGTCACCACTTCTGCCGCGTCTGCGATCATGGTTCGCAGCACCCGACCTCACTCCGCCACCCTTCGTGGGCCCTACGGGCGGATCTGAGGCGGGGAGCGGAGCAGACGGGGAGGCGCGGGGGGACGCGCAAGGGCGAGGGGAAGCGCGGATGCACGGAGAGGGCGCGCGAGGCTATGGGGATCAGCGGCTGTACGGGCGGGACCCGCGGGGGTTTGGGCGGAACTTCCGCCCGCGCCCGCCTGTGGCGCGGCCGAAGCTGGATCTTCTGGATAAGGTGCTGACCTGCGGGAATGGGGGGAAATGATGGGGGAAGGGGATGCGGGTGGGGAGGGCTGGAGCGAGGAGAAGGGACTTGGGAGCGTTGGGGAGAAAGTGGAATGGTTGGGAGGTTCGGTTTGGCGGCCGAATCAAGCCTGCTGGGAAAGGTGCTGCTTGCTGCCTTATGGGGAGTGGGGGGCTGGGTGGAAGAGGGTTGTGGGTGGCGGGTACGGAGTGGAAAAGGGATGTAAGAAGGGATGCAGGAAGGGATGCCCGAAGGAATGGAGGGATGGCTTTTTGGGGCTCAATGGCACGTGGCAAAAGGAAACGGGATGGGCGGAGTTGGAAGGTCTAGGGACGCGGACTTGTGACCTCCTCACGTCCATCCCTTGGTCTTTTTTGTCCATCCCCTTAACCACCTTCTCACACCCCACCTCCCCCCCCCCCCCCCCTTTCCCCCCCCCCCCCCCCCCCCCTTCTCCCCCATTACACAACCCGCCCTCCTTTCTCTCACTTTCCCACCAACGGAAGAGGGAGCACTGAAAGAGGGAGGAGCGGGAGGCATGGGGGGAGGTGGATTGGAAAACGGGGAGAAACAGTAACGGAACCTCCTCACGTCGGTCCCTTGGTCTTCTGTGTGCATCCCCTTAACCACCTTCTCACACCCCACCTTCCCCACCCCCCCGTCTCCCCCATTACCACCCCCGCCCCTTTTCTCCTGTGTCTCCCCAATTACCCCCCATTCTCACCCGATTACCCCCAGTACGTCCAACCATCGCTGCAGTCAGCAGAGGAGCGGCGGCAGGAGGAGCTGCAGGGAGCGAAGGCAGTAGCTGTACCTGCTCATGCCCCCCCGGTCGTTTTGGTTGCGCCTCCCTTCCCTCCTTCCCCAGTACGTGCATCCATAGCTGCTGTCAGCAGAGGAGCGGCGGCAGGAGGAGCTGCAGGGAGCCAAGGCAGTAACAAAACTTGGTCACTTCCCCCCCTTTCCCTCCACCTCCCAGTGCAACCATCGCTGCTGTCAGCAGAGGAGCGGCCGCCGGTGGAGCCTAGAAAACATGAATTCTTCATTTTGCACATCCAACCCCCCCTTCATTTTGCACATCCAACCCCTCCTTCATGTCTCATCCCTTTCCTCCTCATCTCCCCATCTTCCCATCCCCCCCAGTACGTGCATCCGTCGTTGCTGTCAGCAGAGGAGCGGCGGCAGGAGGAGCTGCAGGGAGTGAAGGAGCGGTTCAGAGTGCATGAGGGGGACACAGGGTCCAGTGAAGTGCAGAGTGAGTGAGAGAGGGAGTGAGTGGGAGAGTGAGCAGGAGAGAGTGGGAGAAAATTTGATCGAAAGGGGAAGTGAAGGAGCCGATCAGAGTGCACGAGGGGGATAGAGGGTCCAGTGAAGTGCAGAGTGAGTGAGGGAGAGAGTGAGGGATCGAGTGAGGGAGTGAGTGAGGGATCGAGTGAGGGAGTGAGTGAGGAAGTGAGGGAGTGAATGAGGGAACGAAGGAGCGGTTCAAAGTGCACGAAGGGGACACGGGGTTGAGCGCAATGCAGAGTGAGTGAGGGAGGGAATGAGGAAGTGAGTGGGGGAGTGAACAAGCGGTCTAAACAGAGTGCAAGAGTGGGATATTGGCTACAAAGGGATAGAGGGAGGGTACCCGACCCGAGTGAGAGACTGTAGGTGCAACTGAGGGAGTGAGAGATTTATTACAGGAAGAAGGAATTGATTGGTGCATGAGTGAGCTAGATTGTTCTCCTGTTTTATATCGACAGCCATGTTTCCTACAGCCCATTCAACAAACTGTCCCAGATTTCATCCCAGTTTCACCATCCCCCTATCTCCCATCCCCCTATCTCCCATCCCCCTATCTCCCATCCCCCTATCTCCCATCCCCCTATCTCCCATCCCCTCTCCCGCATTCACCCGGCTCTGCCACCCTCCCTGTGCTTGCCTGTAACCAACAGTTGCTCTGCTCACCTCGCGCATTGCCTACATGGCCCAGCACCTGCAAACACACAAGAAGGTGTGTGCCTGTCAAGTCACGTTGCCCCCTGGGCTTGCGAGCAAGCATTATCATCACATGAATGCACCTGTGATGCCGTCTCTGCCTTGCACAGTGAACACTCATTGGAGAGTCGTGTGACGATCAAACATATTCTCTCTTTTCTTCAGGACCTGCAAACTCATCATATCTTCGCTATTTCTTCAGGACATGCACTCACCTCTTTTCCTTATTTCATGCTCTGCATACCGAACAGTCGTGCCACAGTCAAACACGCTGCCCCCTTTCTTCAGCATATGCACTCAGCACCTCTTTTCCTTCTCTCATGCTTTGCACTCTGGAGGTTGTGGCACAAGCAAACACTCCGCTTCTCTCTCCCTGCCTACAGGACCTGCACTGCACTCACGGCGGCCCGGCGGGGTCTGGATGGAATGTTAGCGCGGCGGCGCAAGCTGCTCAAGTGCCTTGGGCGGAAGAGGAGGGTCAAGTCACAATCTAAGTCATTGCCCCCTCTCTTTTCCCTGCCCACAGGACCTGCACTCGCGGCGGGGTCTGGATGGAATGTTAGCGCGGCGGCGCAAGCTGCTCAAGTGCCTTGGGCGGAAGAGGAGGGTCAAGTCACAATCTAAGTCATTGCCCCCTCTCTTTTCCCTGCCCACAGGACCTGCACTCGCGGCGGGGTCTGGATGGAATGTTAGCGCGGCGGCGCAAGCTGCTCAAGTGCCTTGGGCGGAAGAGGAGGGTCAAGTCACTATCTAAGTCATTGCCCCCTCTCTTTTCCCTGCCCACAGGACCTGCACTCGCGGCGGGGTCTGGATGGAATGCTGGCACGGCGGCGCAAGCTGCTCAAGTACCTGCGGCGGAAGAACTGGGACTCGTACTGCCATGTGATTGCAGAGCTGGGGCTGCGCGACAGAGTGGACCTGCAATCTTAGTTCTTGAGTGATGGGTTGTGCAGTCGTTCGTCTTTTGCGTCTAGCCTAGGTTGCGAGCTGCTCAAGTATCTGCAACACAAGAACTGCCAAAGCTGTGCAGATGCTGCACGCTGCCCAGCTGCCCAAGCTGTGCAGATGCTGCAAGCTGCTCAAGTACCGTATCTGAGGATGAGAACTGGGACTCCTGCCACGCCGTTGCAGAGCTGAGTGTGCGGTGGAGTGGATCTGCAATTTTAGGTGTCCGTTTGGCTAGGGTTGGATGTAGTAACATTTCTGCCTGTGCTTTTATTTCTGTGTTAAAAGAGTTTATAAAGGTGGTCAATTCTCGTAAGATTCTAACCATTGATTTTCACCTCTGATGCAGAAGTGTAGATTTGTAATTTGGAATCTGGGCACAAGTTTTAGTTATTTACATATCACGAACTGTCACATTAATGTACTTCGATCAGCCCGAACCGAGCCGAAATGGGAACAGAACGCTTTATTGCGGTGTAATGCCAGGGTCAAAACGCACTGCCTGAATCCCCCATTCCATCCTACGTCCTGACGCGCGGGCCCACACTTCCCCAGCCATAACGAGTCCATTCGCGCTGAACCTCGTTTTCTACTTTCCGCCTGAAGCGCAAGCAGTCTCTCCCGTCAGGCCCGTCCGCGCATTCCCCGTTCGCGCTGTCCGCCCCATCCGCGCAGTCATCCGCCCCGTCCGTAGTCGTCCGCCACCAGTCCGCGCGCATGCATCGTGTGCGCAACTCCCGCGCGCCTCGCCTTCTCCATCTCTTCACGCAGTGCCATGCCGCTCCCCGGCTCGGCGCACTGCAGCCCCGCGCGGGGGCCGTCACGGCGGCTGACGGAAATCGGCCGGCAGAGCCGTTGCTCGTTCCGCCTGCTAGCCGAAAGGTAGACGCGGCACGTCCGACCAGCCGCTGCGTCGATCACCACGTAGGACGATTCACTGACGCGCTGCCGCAGATCTGCTGCCAGGCTGTCAGCCAGCCTGGCGTTGCCACGCTGTCCGCCGAGCCATCACCTTCCACATCCATATCAACACTCACCCAGCGGTACCACTCTGCGCCGCGCTTTACACCTCTTTCTCGACTTTCCGCCCCTCATCATCACCCCACACCGCTCGCGGTCAGCTCGCCGTATGCTCGCGCCTTTAGCGCCGCCTCCGCAGGCGGCAGCAGTGGCAGCGCCGGCAGCGGCAGTGATGGCGGCAGTGGTGGCGGCAGCGGCGGGAGTGTTGGCGGCAGGGGCGAGGCCGCGGGCGGACTAGAATCAGACCTAGGATCGGATCTAGGGTCAGATCTAGGTTCGGATTCGGATTCAGGCTCAGATTCAGGCTCGGATTTAGGTTCGGAGGACGTGTCGGTGAGGGTGCTGGAGGGGGTGGTGGAGGATGCGCGGCAGGCCTACGGCGAGAGGCACGAGCTGGTGGCGGGGCTCAGACTGCGACTGGCGCAGGCGTATCTGCAGCAGGGGCGGGACGCGGGGGAGGTGCTATCTGTGGTGGAGAAGGCATGGGAGGTGAGATGTGGGGGAGGTGCTGTCTATCTGCAGGGCATGACATTGAACTGGCATATCCAGTCAAAATACAATCAACATCTGTGGCTTGTCCTTGAATCCTTTATGCTCTTGCACACTGAAACCCCAAAACCCCAAACCACGACCCCACGAAACCTAAAATCCGAATGCTAACCTCAAACCTAATCTTAACCCCAACCACAGACCCAAAACCTTAGACCCTGAACCCTGGCTGTGCATGACCCTCCCTTCCCTGGCACCACCACGTCTTTGGCACCGTTGCTATGACTCTCCCTCCCAAACCCTGAAACTCAGACCTTGAACCTTTATTCCACATGACCCACCCTCCCCCGCATGGCATCCCCAGGTGTTTGACGGCGTTGCCCTGGATGGGGATCTCGTGCGAGCCATGTGCCTTCAACCCTGAACCCTTGCTGCCCATGACTCTCCCTCCCTCCCTCCCTCCGTCCCTCCGTCCCTCCGTCCCTCCCTCCCTCCCCCCCTCCATCCCATGGCACCACCATCAGGTGTTTGACGCCATGGCCATGGATGGGGATCCCGTGCGAGCCATGTGCCTGCACCTCATGGCCGCATGCCATGCCAGGTGATATGGGGTTATGGGGTGTTGGGTGCTTGTGCGATGGCATGGCATGACTGACGGGGTTATGTTGCATGGCATGACTGACGGGGTTATGTTGCATGGCATGACTGACGGGGTTATGTTGCATGGCATCGTGTGTTTGCACCTCATGGCCTCATGCCATGTCAGGTGATGCTGTGATGGGGTGTGATGGCATGGTGGCATGATGGGATCAGATCACATGTCAGCCATGTGTCTGCACCTCTTGGCCGCATGCAACGCCAGGTGATGGTGTGATGGGGTGTTGGGTTGGGTGCTTGTGCGATGGCATGGCATGAATGACGGGGTTATGTCGCATGGCATCATGTGCCTGCATCTTATGGCCGCATGCCATGCCAGGTGATGATGTGTGATGGGCTATGATGGCATGGGGGCATGATGGGGGTCATACCACATGTCATCCATGTGCCTGCACCTCATGACCGCATGCCATGCCAGGTGATGATGTGATAGCATGGTGTAGTGATGGCATGATAGCATGGTGTAGTGATGGCATGATAGCATAGTGTAGTGATGGCATGATAGCATGGTGTAGTGATGGCATGATGGCATAAAGGAGTGATGGCACGATTGCACGATGGCATGATGGCACGATGAGATGATTGCATCATGACATGATTGATGGCACGATGGTGTGATGGCATGATGTCATGATTGCACAATGGCATGATGGCATGATTGCATGATGAGGTGACATTATTGGCAATGACAATGATATGTGCCTGCACCTCATGGCCACATGCCATGCTAGGTGATGCTGTAATGGGTGATGGGTGGTTGGGTGATGGTGTGATGGGGCTATATCGCATGACATAGCCATGCCTCTGTCAGATGATGGTGTGATGGGGTGATGGATGGATGGCATGATGGGTTGATATATCACGACCTTGCTCTGCTCGTGTCTGCATGTCATGGCCGCATGTGAACGGAAGTTTTGATGGTGAGATGTGACCACACGCCTTGTAACAATGAGGTGAGATGTGACCGCACGCCTTGTAACAATGAGGTGAGATGTGACTGCACGCCTTGTAACAATGAGGTGAGATGTGACCGCACGCCTTGTAACAATGAGGTGAGATGTGACCGCACGCCTTGTAACAATGAGGTGAGATGTGACCGCACGCCTTGTAACAATGAGGTGAGATGTGACCGCACGCCTTGTAACAATGAGGTGAGATGTGACCGCACGCCTTGTAACAATGAGGTGAGATGTGACCGCACGCCTTGTAACAATGAGGTGAGATGTGACCGCACGCCTTGTAACAATGAGGTGAGATGTGACCGCACGCCTTGTAACAATGAGGTGAGATGTGACCGCACGCCTTGTAACAATGAGGTGAGATGTGACCGCACGCCTTGTAACAATGAGGTGAGATGTGACCGCACGCCTTGTAACAATGAGGTGAGATGTGACCGCACGCCTTGTAACAATGAGGTGAGATGTGACCGCACGCCTTGTAACAATGAGGTGAGATGTGACCGCACGCCTTGTAACAATGAGGTGAGATGTGACCGCACGCCTTGTAACAATGAGGTGAGATGTGACCGCACGCCTTGTAACAATGAGGTGAGATGTGACCGCACGCCTTGTAACAATGAGGTGAGATGTGACCGCACGCCTTGTAACAATGAGGTGAGATGTGACCGCACGCCTTGTAACAATGAGGTGAGATGTGACCGCACGCCTTGTAACAATGAGGTGAGATGTGACTGCACGCCTTGTAACAATGAGGTGAGATGTGACCGCACGCCTTGTAACAATGAGGTGAGATGTGACCGCACGCCTTGTAACAATGAGGTGAGATGTGACCGCACGCCTTGTAACAATGAGGTGAGATGTGACCGCACGCCTTGTAACAATGAGGTGAGATGTGACCGCACGCCTTGTAACAATGAGGTGAGATGTGACCGCACGCCTTGTAACAATGAGGTGAGATGTGACCGCACGCCTTGTAACAATGAGGTGATATTGTGGGAATCTCTTCTTTCCCTCCATCACTCCCCACCCAACCCCCTTTCCCCTCCCTCATCCTCCAATTGCGCCCACAGGCTCGGCGACCCCGACGAGTGCCTCTCCCTCGTCGTGCAGTGTAAGAGAGGCACCTTGCTCTGCTCTCATGCTGTCCATGTCTCAATCCTCCTCTTCCTCCTTCCTCCTCCCTCCTCCCTCCTTCTCCCTCCTCCTCCCCCCATTGCTCCCACAGGCTCAGCGACCCTGACGAGTGTCTCTCCCTCGTCTTGCAGTGCAAGTGCAGCGCTTTTATCTGCTCTCTTGCTGCTCGTTGACTTTTGAGTGACTTTTGAGTCGACTCAAAAGTCACCTAGCACTTTTATCTGCTCTCTTGCTGCTCGTTGTCTCGATCCTCCTCTTCCTCATCCCTCCTCCCTCCCCCTCTCCCCCCTGTTGCTCCAACAGGCTCGGTAACCCAGACGAGTGTCTCTCACTCCTAGTGCAGTGCGAAGCAGCGCTGGAAGCTGCCAAGAAGCTTCAGAGCCTCATGCAAGAGCAAGACGTAGCTGGGACTGAGCAGGAAATAGGATCAGATGGGGGGGAGAGCTGCGGGTCAAGGAATGGAGTTGCAGGGGTGGAGAGTGGGGGAGGTGTGGGTAGCAGAGGAGGAGAGTGTGGAAGGGTAGAGGGTGGTGATGGGGAGGGGGAGGGGGGAGACGCAGCAGCAGCAGCAGCAGCAGCGATGGCACAAGGGACAGCCGATGCCATCCACATGGTGGGGTTTGCCATGCACATGCTGCGAGCTGACGTCAGCAGTGCGAGGGGGGACATGGACACTGCACTGAAGGCGTACAGGTGGGCAACACGTGTGTCTGTCTGAGGCTGTTTAGGTATGCCACATGTGGTAACAAAGATTAGACGTTATTTCTTTTTATTCTAAAAAAAATCCCTGAGAATTCTAAAAAGATCCTTGCAGTGTCTGAGGCTGTTTAGGTATGTGACATGTGGTATCAAAGATTAGACGGAGGCGCCTCAAAAGGCAGCACGTGGGGGAGGAGTGTGCGTTCACCCTCTCCCTCCGTCCTCTGCATTTCCTTCCCTCTCCAGGACTGCTCTCGAGCTGCAAGGAGAGGCACTGGGTGCAGATGACCCACGAGTGGCTGACCCATTGCAACACGTGGTGGAGGAGTGTGCGTTGACCCTCCTCTGTCTGTCCTCCTGTCACCCCGTCCAGGACTGCTCTCGAGCTACAAGAGGAAGCACTGGGCTCGGAGGACCCACGAGTAGCGGATGCGCTGCAGCACGTGGGGGAGGAGTGTGCGCGGCACATGCGGCTAGGCGATGCCCATGCCATGGGGATGCGCGCGCTACAGCTGCATGAGACGCACAGGAGGGGCTTGGAGGAGAGGTTGGGAGGGGAGGAGGGGAGTGGGGAGGGGAGGGGTGAGGAGGGAGGAGGGGTGAAGGGGGAGGAGCTGAGGGAGAGAGTGAGAGAGGAGTTGGAGGGAAGGGGGAGGGAGGAGGTGAGGAGGGAGTATGAGGAGGCTGTGATGAAGGAGGTGGCAGATCACCGGTGAGTTGGCTTATCAAGGAGGTGTTGGCTTATCAAGGAGGAGTTGTCGGCTTATCAAGGATTTTCTTGCTTCCCGTTCCTTCCTTTGCTGCCTCTTTCCCCCCCTCAGCCTGTTAGCAGCAGTGTTTGCGGGTCAAGGCGACGCCTCCCCCGCCGTCCACCACCTATCCGCAGCAGCAGCCCTGCTCTCCTCCCTCCTCTCCTCGCCCTCCGCCCCCTCCGCCCTCTCCCCTCTCGACCTCGCCTCTGTGCACCTCGCCACTGTTGACATCATCCTGCACTCCGGGCTGCTGCAGGGAGAAGAGGGGGGAGAGATGGGGGAGGGGGGGGAGGAGGGGGGGCGCGTGAATAGGGAAGAGATGGGGGGTGAGGAGGCAGAGATTGCGGAGGAGAGTGACAGCAGAGAGCAGCAAGGGGAAGGACTGGGTGTACGATTAGGAGGAGGAGTGAAGGGAAGTTATGAGGGAGGAGCAGAGGGAGGGGAGGTGAGAGAGGAGGCGATGGATATGGCAGTGTTGGCGCTGGAAGCGCTGAAGCAGTGTGTGGCAGTGCAGGGGGAGGAGCTGGGGAAGGACCATCCTGCTGTGGCGAGGACGTATGCTCTCGCTGCTGATGTGTACTGGCAGATAGGGCAGGCGGAGGAGGCAGAGGTGAGATGCAGTGCAATGCGGTGCAGTGCGGTGTGGTGAGGTGAGGTGAGGCGAGGAAAACTAGCAAGAAAGATGCCTGCTGTGGCGAGGACATATACGTGCGCTGCTGATGTGTATTGCAGATATGGCGGGCGATGGAGGCAGAGGTGAGGCAGGCGGTTGGAACTTGGGTGCAAAGAGGTGAACTGCGATGTGGTCAGGTGAGGCAGGGGGGTTTGAGCGGGCGGTTGGGTGGGAGACAAAAGCGCCCTCCCACTCAGATTGTTTGCGTTACTCGCTATATCCACTCCACATTACCCCTCTTAACCTCTCTCTATCCCACGACCAGAAAGTGAGCAAGAGAGCGATCAAGGTACTGGCAGCCATGCCAGCGGCGCACCAGCGCAGCGAGGAGGCAGCAGCAGCGCTCGCCCACGTCGCTCTGCATCTCAAGCGCACCGACCGCTGTGGCATGGCCGTGCCTCTGCTGCAACGGGCGCTTGGTATCAGAAAGGAGCACCCGGACCATCTGCTTCAAGCCGTGGGTGAGTCATTGGGGGAAGGTATTGTGTTTATTTTTGGACTGATCGATCTTCTCAAACGCACCAACTGCTATGACATGGCCGTGCCTCTGCTGCAACGAGCGCTGAGCATCAGAAGGTAACAACCCGCCCACTTGTTGCAGGCTGCGTGAAGACTTTTGAGTTGACTCAAATCTCGGCCACGTGAAATAAGTGAATCTTTGAGACGTCTCAAAAAATCACTTATTTCGAGCGCTGGGCATCAGAAGGGGCCACCCCGCCCACTTGCTGCAGGCCGTGGGTGAGTTAGAAGGAGAGGAAGAGGGAACGTCTTGTGTGAGGGTTCCTTGACTTTTGAGTCGACTCAAAAGTCAACTCGGCTGTGGGTGAGTTAGAAGGAGAGGAAGAGGGAACATCTTGTGTGAGGAGAGGAAGAGGGAACATCTCGTGTGAGGGTTCCTGCTATGCTCATCCTGCTCTCCACGCTCCCCTTTTTGTTTTCCTCTTGTGTTAACCTTCCATTTCCTTTTGTAAATGACATGGCTTCCCAGTCCCTTTCATCCCCCACACTCCTCTCCTCCTTTTTGCCCCATTCCCTTTTCCTCATTTCCCCCCCTCCCAGGCACAGCAACGGACCTCGCCTCTCTCCTCCTCTCCCTCCGCCGCCCCAACGAGGCCCTCCCCATCCTCCTCTCCGCCCTCCCCTCCCTCCGCTCCTTCCTCGGCCCCTCCCACACCGCCTCCCTCCCCCTCCTCTCTCTCCTCTCCGCCGCCCACTCTTCTCTCGACCAATGGAGCGAGGCGGCGAGAGTGGTGGGGGAGATGTGGGAGGTGGTGAGAGGGGAGGGGATGGAGGAGGCTATGGGGGAGGCTATGAGGGGCGATGAGGCGGCCATTGGCATGTGGATACCCCTGGCAGATGCCCTTGGGAGTGAAGAGAGGTGAGCATGCACCGGGTGAGAAGGGGTGAGAAGGGGTGAGTAGAGGTGAGAAGGAGGTGACGAGTGAGGAGAGGCAGAAAGGCGGGGTGAGGAGAGTGAGAAAGGAGGTGACGAGAAGGAGTGAAAAGAGGTGAGAAAAGCTGGTTTGCGCGAGCAGGCACAGAGTAGTACATGTTGACGTTCCTGCTGGCTTGGCCTAGGGTGTTTTTGAGAATTCTCAAAAACACCCTGGCACAGAAAAGTACATATTGGCGTTCCTGCCGGCTTGGCCTACGTGGATCCATCTCGAATTCATCTCAAGAACAGCAGCACCTGTTGACTTCTGACACGTCTAAGAGTCATCTCAAGAGCAGAAGCATCTGTTAGCCCCCTGTTGTTACTCTCTTTGGTTACAATTCTTTTGTTAGCTCTTGTTACTCTCTTGTCAATCTCCTCACCAGTCTCACATCCTTCCTACTCTCATGTCACTCTCTGCATGCAGGTTCCTTCTGCTGCAGCAAGCAGTGGAGCAAGCAGCAAGAGGAGCAGAGGCAGGGGGGGAGAGCAATGGAAGGGGAGAGGTAGGGGAGGATGCAGCAGCAGCTAGAGCTCGCTGGCTCGAGGTGTTGAGGGAGATGACAATGATCAATAACGGTTGATTATGCACTTCCAAATTGCAACACCATAGTGCTATTGATTGTGTACAACCAAAATGTTTCTGATATTGGACATTGCTCTGTAAATGATTTCCACTTTTTACTGGGTATATGTTACACCTCGGACAGCAACAATTTTAGGAAGACAGGCTTGGCTCAAAGACCTCGCCTCCCGAAGCTGTCTCGCATAGCATTCGGGCTTCGGGCGTCCAGGCCTGTGCCCAACCTAAGGACGCGCCACGATTGCAACACCCAACCTGTGAGGGATTGATGTGCACAATGTACAGTGTCTTCGCGAGCTGTGTATCCCTGTTTCGTCTATATTGGTGTCAAGAACGAAAGTGTTGTATTCACAATGTTGGTTGGGGTACATAAACCTAACCCTAAGAGTTGTACCCCCTATGACACACATCCAGGCCTCTGGATAGGATTTGAGTTGGTCTTTCCCATAAGGCCAACATCCTAGTTTCACTCTTTCAATCAGGGTACAAATTCAGAACACACTTATAAATCAGGGTGGAACTTTAAACTACTCGTCAATGACCTTTTTACAAGAAAGTACACACGTGTTATGGTGTCCAGTTGTGTAGGAGTGATAATTTGTAGAGAACTTGCGGGTTCAAAACCCGCCGCAGGCGCTCGCCACTGCACTTTTAGCGTGGAATTCTGACAGACTCGGTAAGAATTAGATCAGAACTGTCAGTGAAACTACATGTAGTTGTTCAACAGCACTCTGAAATATCAGTGTCGTAAATCTAAACACTTTTTCTTGTAAGGGTCAATGGAAAAGCCACTCTGGTAAAAAAGGGTGCATAAGAAAACCCACCCTTATAGTAAGTGTCATAAGGGTGAATCACCCTTATATCAAGAGGCCTGCACACATCACTAAGACTAAAACATTTGACACAGTCCCATAGTTTAAGTGAGGGGTGTCTGTCAAATGTTGTAGCCTGTAGTGAGGTTTGTCTTAGGGGGTACAGAAGTTAGGGTTTGTTATATGTACCCCAACCAACATCAATGGAACATTCATTCCTCATTTTGACATGGTATCAGCTAGGTTAGGATCCTGTGGGATCCCGTTCCTCCGTTCTCCGTTCGTACCTCCCGAGCCTGATCCTACCTCTCGTTCGTACCAGTTTCGTTGTTACCGCGCCTAGTACCGAGCCTAGCGCCATCTCCCCCGTCGCGTCACGCCCGTTCCCCCCCGTCGCGTCGCGCCCGTTCCCCCCGTCGCGTCGCGCCCGTTCCCCCCGTCGCGTCGCGCCCGTTCCCCCCCGTCGCGTCGCGCCCGTTCCCCCCGTCGCGTCGCGCCCGCCTGTTACCCCCCCCGTCCCGTCGCCCTGTCCCGTCGCGTCGCCCTGCCCTGTCCCGTCGCCCTGTCCCGTCGCGTCGCCCTACCCCGTCGCGTCGCCCTGCCCTGTCCCGTCGCCCTGCTCCGTCGCGCCGCCCTGCCCCGTCGCGTCGCCCTGTCACGTCGCGTCGCCCTGCCCCGTCGCGTCGCTCCCGCCCTTTCCCCCGTCGCGTCGCCCTCCCTAGGCCCTGGCCCGTCGCCCTCCCTAGGCCCTGGCCCGTCGCCCTCCCTAGGCCCTGGCCCGTCGCCCTCCCTAGGCCCTGGCCCGTCGCCCTCCCTAGGCTCTGGCCCGTCGCCCTACCCTAGGCCCTGGCCCGTTGCCCTACCCTACGTCTTGGCCCGTCGCCCTAGCCCGCTCTTCCGCTGCGACTGAGTCCTCTTCCCCCCCGGTTGTTACTCGCCTGTTCGTTCGCGTTGGTTCTCACTATGGCGACTCCGCGAGTTCTTTGTTTCGACGCCGACGGTAGACCCCTTGACTTTTCCGTCTGGCTTCTTCGCGCTCGTCGTCTGTTAGAGAGTCAGGTCCAGGGGGGCGAGACCCTCTGGTCACACGCTACTGGTGACCTCCCCGAGCCCCCCGAGCCTACAGCTTTAGGCCCTGCTCCTGACGACGCTGCTACGGCTCGCTTTGCCCGTCAGCGCGCTGACCGGACGGCTTGGACGTCGCGTGACGCTGCGGCCTGCATCGCACTCAGCAGCCTCCTCCCTGAGTCCGAGGAGGTCCACTTTACTCAGGTTCGCACCGCTGCTGCGTACCTCACTGCGATTAAGGCCCGCTACTCTACTCCTGCTACTGTCTCTCTCGGCCGTCTTTTCCTCCCGTTCCTATTTCCTCATCTTGCCTCGTTTGAGCGCTCTGCTGACTTGATCGCTCACCTCCGCTCGCTCGACGCTAGTTACCGCGCTGCTTGCACTGAGGCACAGCTTGCACTGCTTCCTCCCCCCATGGCGATTACTGTCTATTTCATCGCCACTAGCCTCCCTGACCGCCTTGCCTCCGTTCGTGACGCGCTTCTGCTGAAGCACCCTAGTGAGCTGACTATCGAGGTCCTTGAGTCTGCACTCAAGGACGTCGAGAGCAACCTTCGTTCGGTTGCTGCCGCCTCTGGTACTGTGTCCCCCCCACTCTTCCACGGGTGCACAGTCCCGCAGTTACCCACCTTCACTGCCTCTCTTGCCACTGCCGCTACTGACGCGACTGCGGCTGCTGTTACGACTGCGTCGCGGTCCCGCGGCAGGGGGGGCAAGAAAGGTGGTTCCGGTGGAGGTGGAGGCGGAGGTAGCGGAGGTAGTGGGGGTGCTGTTGCGACTGGCGGTGGTGGGAGTGCAGCGTCTGGAGAGACCCCTCGTGCAGCGGCTGGTGACTCCACTGCACCTGCTGGTGGCGGCGACCCTCGAGCTCGTCAGTCGCCTCCTGTACTGCCGGCCCCGCTAGGTGGAGCGGCGGCGTGGTACCAGGCTCAGCGTCAGCAGCACCTTCAGCAGCAGCAGCAGCCCCTTTCCTCCTAGCAGCCTCAGCAGCAGCAGCGTCAGCAGCTGGCTCCGGGGTCGGGGCTGCGTCAGCCCCAGCGCGGTGCTGCTTACCCTCCCTGCCCCTACCAGGTTCAGACAGGTCCTCGTCGGGGCCACCCTTGTGGTCGCTTTCACCCCCCTGGTCAGTGCTTTGCTCAGCTCACTGACACGGTCCGGTTGACCTACGGGGTTGGCGGTCCTGCTCCTGACTAGCTTCCTCTGGTTCAGCGCTACGGCTCCGCTCTGTGGGGCATGTCTGCTGAGCAGTTAGTTGATCTGATTAGTGCTCCTCATGCTATGTATGCTGTTGTTGACTCTAGTGTTTCTGACTCTGTTTACTCTGGTGTTGTTAGCTTAGGTGCTAGTCTTGCTCAGTTGCCTGTTGCTGGTGTAGGTACTTGTGTAGACTCTAGACCAGCGAATACCTCAGAGGACGCTTCGGTGTCGTTCACACTGGACTCTGGAGCCTCCCACTGCTTCTTTCGGGACAGCACGACACTTACACCACTTCCTGCGCCTGTTTCTGTAGCGTTGGCTGATCCCACTACGGGACCAGTCACTGCACGTCACACTACCACTTTACCGTGTCCTGCTGCTCCCTCCGGGTCTCTCACTGGGTTTTACGTCCCCTCGTTCTCCCGGAACTTGGTGGGCGTGCGACCCCTCGTGAGTCAGCACGTGGGTGTGTGGGTTGAGCCTTCTGGAGAGACTGCGGTGTGTGTTGACGGAGACTCTTACCAGCCTCTTGCTACCTTTACTGCTGAGCCGGGCTCGGGTCTCTACACTCTTCACACTGGCCCGCGTGCGCCGCAGCAGCAGCCGCAGTAGCAGCAGCAGCAGCAGCAGCCGCAGCCGCAGCAGCAGCAGCAGCACCAGCGGCCGCACCAGCAGCCCCCCCTACTGCCACTGCCCCCGGTTCCCCCCCCCGTTCGGGTCCCCGCGTCTCACCAGGTTGCTACGTCCCCCCAGGTGTCTGTGTCGTGTCAGGTTCCTACGTCTGTTCCAGTCGCTGCGTCGTGCTCCTGCCGGTCGCTTGCCCACCCCACCGTTCTGTGGCACCACCGGATGGGGCACCCGTCCCTTCCACGTCTGCGCGCTATGTCTAGTCAGCGTCTTGTCCTAGGCCTCCCACGTGTCTTGCCGTCGCTGCCGCCTTCGCCTGCGCCGCCGTGTCGTCCCTGTGTCGAGGGTAGGCTGCGCGCCACCCCTCACTCCTCCTCCCTTCGTCCGGCCACCGAGCCTTTTGAGACGCTTCACTTGGACGTCTGGGGCCCAGCCCCTCGTCTAGGCCCTGAGCGTGAGCGTTACTTTCTGGTGGTCGTTGACGACTTCTCCCGCTACACCACAGTGTTCCCTCTGGCGAAGAAGTCTGAGGTGACTTCTACGCTGATCAGGTGGTTGCTCACCACTGAGGACACTCGTGGTCGTCGTGTCAGCTGTCTCCACTCCAACCGTGGGGGTGAGTTTCGCTCCGGCATTCTCGCTGGATTCTGTCGCGAGCAGGGCATTTGTCAGTCCTGGACGCTTCCAGAGTCCCCACAGCAGAATGGGGTTGCTGAGCGCCGCATAGGCCTGGTCATGGAGATCGCCCGCACCTCCCTGACTCACGCCTGTGCCCCCCATTTTCTGTGGCCCTACGCGGTCAGGTACGCCGCGCACCAGCTGAACCTCTGGCCACGTGTCTCTCGACCAGAGGTTTCACCGACCAGTCTTTGGACAGGGTCCCCTGGTGTTGCGTCGCGGTTTCGTGTCTGGGGGTGCTTGGCTCTTGTCCGCGACACCTCCGCGGACAAGCTCTCGCCTCGTGCCGTCCCCTGTGTCTTCCTTGGTTTCCCTGAGGACTCCTCTGACTTCACCTTTTACCACCCTCCCTCTCACCGGTTCTTTGACTCCCGTGACGTCCGTTTCGAGGAGTCCACTCCGTACTACGTCAGGTACCCCAGTCGAGGTCTCCCGGTTCCTCCTCCCCCCCTCTTCCTGACTGCCGTTCCCCCTCCTGCTCCCCCGGTACAGCCTCCCCCCCCTGGTCCAGCCCCGTCAGGTGTGTCCCAGGCTACCCCTCCTCCTTCGGTAGCCCCTCCGGTACAGCCTCCCTCCCCACAGTCCTCCTCGCAGCGTGCCGCTGGTGCTAGCTCTCGAG